CCTCGTTTCTCTTTTGAGGGCTCACCTACAGACCAATACCATTCTTTAGACACCCCTACCAAGTTTCTACACCCAGCCGTTCTCTCAAATTAGCTGTGACAAAACCCCGTTTTTCTCCATAAGAATAACATGGGATGGAACTTTAAAGGCCACTGGGGCAGAGCCCATAGGGAATTTACCACGTTTCTCTTTTGATAGCTCATCTACAGACCAAGACCTTTCTTTAGACACCCCTACCGAGTTTCTACCCCCAGCCGTTCTCTCAAAATAGCTATGACAAAGAAAAACAGTTTCAAATTAATATATAGATTGATATGGGGGAAAATGTTGAAATTTTGCCAGGAAGAATTAAGGAATCCAATTAGATACATAATAAATGAGTCAATATTACAGGCTAAAATTCCCAAAAAACTCAAAATTGCTAAAATCCATCCGATATACAAGAAAGGTGAAGCTAGTGACCCAAACAATTATAGGCCCATTTCTAACCTGCCCGTTATTTCCAAACTCCTAGAGAGAGCAATATATAATCAAATTATCTCACACCTGGACTCCAACAACCTCCTCTCTGTATGCCAACATGGCTTCAGGAAGAACCTCAGCACCACTACCGCAATCTCAAAACTAGTTACACATATCGCTGATATTTGGGAGGAAAGAAAAAATGCCTCTGGAATCTTCCTTGACCTACAGAAAGCCTTCGACACTCTTGATTGGGATATCCTCAGAACTAAATTAATCAGCATGAATATCCAAGGCAAAGCACTGGAATGGATCGACAGTTATCTGACAGATAGATACCAAAATATGTAGAAATAGAAAGTCAACACCATAACACCATTTACACCACCAAATCATCTCTTAGAACTACATCAAGAGGAATTCCCCAAGGTTCCATATTGGGTCCCCTCCTCTTCATCATTTACATTAACAGCCTCCCCTCCAGTTTTGACAACGACCAAAAATGCATACTATTTGCCGATGACACCACTATTGTTGTTCCAACAAATCGTCAAGTATCCAACATTAACTTAATAAAATCAACAATGGATCAAGCAACAACAGCCTGTGAAGATATAAACCTCATTATCAACAAGAACAAAACTGTACACATCAACTTCCGAATAAACAATAACAATAAAAGTATAGACGATTGGTCCGGACTGAGCATTCCCACGGTTAACTCAACTAAATTCCTGGGTATCTACATTGACGAAAACCTAAGCTGGCAGATCCATATAGATTACCTTAGTAAAAAACTGTCTACTGCACTCTTTGTACTCCGTAGAATCTGCAACACCACCGATCTGGACACTACCAATGATAGCCTACCACTCCATCTTCGCTTCACACTTGAGATATGGCATTGCCGCATGGGGTTCTACATCTGCCAAAAACCTCGAAAGAATATTAATTCTACAGAAAAAGACTGTAAGAACAATCTTGAGGTTAGACCCATATGAACATTGCAAACCACACTTCATCCGACTCAACATCCTTACCATCACATCACTGTATATCCTTGAAACCATCATTTACTCCATAAACTTAATTAACACCTGTCCGCAGACAAGAACTCCATACACACAATACAAGACACAAAGCAAACATAGATCTACCCCAACATAGACTCTCTAAATTCAGCAATACACCACAATACACTGGCTCAAAATTTTACAACTTGCTACCACAACAATCATCTACACAACAATAAAACAATTGTCCAGCACCTAAAAAAAATACCTCACCAATAGACCATATTACAACATAAACGAGTACATAGAGGAACACTCATACATACACATACGCCAGCTCACTTCGTGAACAAATAGCAAAATCCCGTCCAGACGGAAGAATATTATGACGATTCCCCGATCTATGGATTGTGGTGAAGACATCGAAGGTAAAAGGTAAAAGGTATGTAATCACATTAATTTATGTAACAGCTTATTGCTGTTTTGAATGTTTTATTCTTGTTTATGTTATGTGTTTAACCAGAGTTCTGGATTTCTTTGTAAATGAAATGTTCTCAAAATATTCGTTCACATTCACACATAGTGGTGCAACTATTTTATACAGATTAAACATTGCTATACTGTATATACAGTGTCCGTGAACACTATCACTTGAGTAATTTTTAGGAGCTTAAAAAACAAATAATTTCGTTTTTTGAAGTGTTTTTGTACAGTTATTGGCTACGGAGAAAATTAAATAAATTTTAAACTTAAAGCTCCCATGTTATTCTTTATGGTGAATGAAAAAGGTACAAACACGCAGGACGCGGCACGGTGTTGCCACGGCCGCCTTTAACCCCAGGGGCCCATTTCATAATAAACTACAAGTTACAAGTTACAACTTGTAACTTGTTATTTCCATTAGATTTGCATTGGGCAATCAGCTGATTTACTAATAATATTAGTTTGTACTATATTATGAAATGGGCCCCAGGTCGCGTCGTGTCGTAAGGGTTGTAACAGTTTTTTTTGGAAGCAGCTGATATTTGTGTATTTACGAAAGCTTAGTTACTTGACTACTATGAAAATATTGACTCCGCTTTAAATGTACAGATATAGATTTTTTATTCATATTGTTTTGGTTTTCAATTCTGTATGTTTTATTTTCAATATTTAATAAATTTATATTCATAAATTCAAATCTAAATAAATAAAGTGCGAATTAATGAGCTGATGTCACCTGTCTGCCGTGTTATCTTATGGGACGCCAGACACTAAACAACGTATTTGTTTTTCAACTGCTAAGTTATAAACAATTGTACCATCGATTATACAACCCTACTTGCAACGTTGCCAATTCTACCAGGCCGCAGCTTGGAATTAAGGGTGGCCGTGGTGTGGCGCGTCATTACGTGTTAAAAAAACAAATACGCACTTTAATGTTATTTTGTAAATGGTGTATCCGTTGGAATAAATAAATAAATAAATACAAAATTTGAAGGAACACACAGAGTTGAGAGATTGTCAAGGCGCCATGCCGCGTGCAGTGCGCGCGTCCTGTGTGTGTTTGAACATTAGCAATATACACGGCCACATTTAACTAAACAATACACAAATACCATTAGCTGCTTCCAAACAAAACAGCTGTTACAACACCGAACACCATTTGCGACGTTGTCACTTCGAAGGCCGCGCCCCGGCCAGAGGCCCATTTCATAATAAAGTACAAACTAATATTACTAGGGTTGCTTTCAGAGAGGTGAAAGCCAGTTGAGCGGAACAAACGTGATTTGATATTTGTATAAGTAACTAAATGCAAAAAGGTCAATAGATTTATTTACTAATGCTGGTTTTAAAGATTAAAATTATAATAATTCAAATTTACCTCTTCGAGAAGTGTAAGGTAGTTTTGACCAGGAAAATATTACAGTAGTTGGAATCTGATATTAACATCCAAAAAGGGCATTAAAGTATAAAAAAGAGAAAGGAAATTTTATCAACATTTGAAATGACTGAATTGTTACCAAATAACTGTTTCACAAAATGCAGATTCCATTTTCAGCCGAGCCATTAAAATGAGGATTTGCCGAACAATTATTAATATTACAGAATAGTATATAATGATATACAACTTTTCTCATTCCATAAATTATATGTTAGTTTTGCTATGGTCAAAGATCCAAAACCAAATGTTCTCTTTTCTTTTGGTCAGTATGTAATAATTTGCTAGAATCATTGACTTTATATAAAGTCAAAGCTAGAATACTGTAGATGGTTTGTTAAGTTAAGACCATATGCAAGCATTTTTGAAATCGTTTCCCCGTTTAACCTTAACCAACTATTCCATTCCAAAAGATAAAAATTATATGGTGCAACACAAATAAACAACCCGATCACCTACCTATAACCTACACTTTACCTTCCTAATCTAACCTTACTTCAAAACACTTAATGTAGTCACGAATACTCATAAACCCCGACCTACCTCCCCACCTGTCTAAATTAGATTAGTGTTCAATCTGTGTTTTATCAATAAGTGTAATAACTTACTGTACCGTCGATGTAATTCAACTTAATATAACCTATGAGGTATTATCGGATTAAATACCGATTTCGATGCGGTTCGATATATCGCTTATTAAATCCTGATTTCTAACATTGGCTATTTCTAATCAGCTGGCAACACAAATAGGTTCCCAAGAAAGTAGTCACCGGTCCGTATCCCTCCGCTCCTTGTTTATGCTCCGCGCATTGAGAAAGTAGTTCCGTATAATTTCTCGATTTTCAGTGAATTCCGCGCCTTAAAAAATGTTTTAACGGCATTTTCTTGTTTATTAAAATTATAGGAATGGTTTAAAAACGTTTAAAAGAAAAGTATAGAAAGTTCAGAAATACCTTATGATTCTCTTGTTTACATTTTTCTTGTAAACAAAAAAACTGTCATAGCTACTTTAGTCCCATAAGCCTAATGTTAAAAATTTGAAATTTTAAGTTCGTTTTAAATTGCATTAGCATTATCTAATTGAAATTTGTTTGTTTACAAACCATCTCATTATTAGTCTTAGTAGTCTTGTTAAGTTTGGCTGAAATGTGTTCAGCCGTTATTGAGTGATGGTGTTATATTGTTTGCATTGAAGTTGATCCCAAAGAGCTTCGCTCGCTTCGCTCGCTCCGCTCAATTAGTAAATCAGCTGATCACCCTAACTAACTGATAAATAACCCTGAGGCCCGTATTACACTATCATAGTTCTATGACATATATCTATTATCATATGTCTTTGATGAAAATTATTACAGTGTAATGTACCAACTATTATAATGGTTTTGAACTATGATAATATGTTCTCCTTGAGAGAACATATTATCATATATTTGATAATATAATATGTCATAGAACTATGATAGTGTAATACCGGCCTAACTAACTAAACTGATAACTGATCATCATAAATCATATGATTTATGATTTATACAATTCCCAATCCCAAAGTAGTCATCGCTTTTGTTTGTTGCCTTGTTGGTAATCCTGAAATCATTCAAACATGGCCGTTCTCTCAGTGTTGTGTTGTGTTGGGCGGCTTCTGTGATCGACGAGATAAGTTATTGATTTGTCGATATTAAATCCCTTTTGTAGTGTCTAGTCAGGTATGTTTAGTTACTATTATTAGATTTATGTTTACGTTAATATATTTAATGTTTACTTTGTTTCCATGGCTCACTGTCCTGTAATTAGCCTAGTGATTAGGTGTACCTATTCCGTTTGTTTGGCTCATCCTCTTTGGCTTCATGTCATTTACTCAAAATACAATCATACAATGTATTTAATTTCGTTATGTTTTAGCCTCATTTTCTGTGAAGTGTATTTTAAGCACACGTGAAATAAAACTGTTAGCCTTATCCAGGCCTAAGTTAAGTTAGATAACTTAGCTTATTTTTAGGCTTGATCTAAGTTTGACTTAGGCCTACCCTTTATCAATAGCTTGGCCATTGCATTAGGCCTCCTAGGTAGTGGTGGGAATCATAGAATGAAAATAAGTTAACCGAAACAATCGGTTACTGATGCTAAACAGACTAATTCGGTTATTTTGTCCTGATTCGGTTGAATTAGTCTTACCGAGCGATTCAGGTAAAATGAACTTAAGTTAGGCCTACCGGTAAGTTAGTTGTTCTTTGGGCTGCACTTTACCTTAGGTCCTACACTCATTCGAATGAAAATATCGATTATTCGATTGTTTCATTCGATATATCGTTTGGTAAGGCCTAGTTAGGTTAGGCCTAGGTTAACCTTACCTAACTAACCAAACGATATATCGAATGAAACAATCGATATATCGATCAATATTTTTTTTCGAAAGAGTATAGGACCTAAAGTAAAGTGCAGCCGATGTTTGGAATAAGTGAATAGGCCTAATAACTAAATTTGATTCAGCGATTTGTCTGACTAAAAATCACCGATGGACGCTAAATGGTAAAACTGAACCTATACTAGGCCTACTTATGTTATATTGAATTTTTTTTGCCTTAACTTATCTATCTAAATTAGACTATTTTAAGCACTTTTTACCATTGGCACTTTTGGGGGAAACGCCTATTTAACCCTGAAAATCGTGTTTGAAAATCAAGAAAAATGCTAGAAATCGGCAATTTTAGATGCATGTAAAACTTTTTGGGTACAATTTCTTAACTGGACTAACTTATGCTAATAGGCTAAGTTAAGTATCTATTGAAACTATCAAATTAAAAATATTTTAAATAATCGATATATTTACCAGCCATATCAGTTATAAATTATTAAACTATCATAACCTAACCTAACCTATTATGTAATGTTTAATGGCCAAATAAACAATTTGAATTTGAAACCAACCAAACTTGCTGATAGTGAAAACATCAAATGAAGGTTTACTAAGTACAGTAATACTAATCGGTATTATCGTAGCGGTATTAACTGTACCCAACTTCTTTTTACTAGTGTCAATAAACTTACTAACCTAACCTAACCTAGAGAACTTAACCAGGATTTACCCAAAATCGGTCATTTTGGCATTGTTAACCTAAGCATGGGCAAGGTTGGGTTAGGTTAGGTTAGGTTAAGTTAGTTTATTATATATTTAATTTGGTTTACCCAAAAATGAGGTCATTTTTGGTACGGTAGGCCTACTTAACTATTTTTTACGATTTTTCAAACCTGATTTCCTGGGTAAAAACGGCATTTGCCATAAAAGTGTTTAAAATGGACTAGGCTATTAATAAAAAAACCCCAACCCTAAGTTAAAAAGAAAATGATCAAGTCCCAAAAATCATTGATTTCTAGCATTTTTCTTGATTTTCAAGTTGTGATTTTAGGGGTGAAATAGGCGTTTCCCCCAAAAGTGCCAATGGTAAAAAGTGCTTAAAATAGTCTAATTTAGGTACTTAGATAAGGCAAAAAAATTCAATATATAACATAAGTAGTATAAGTTCAGTTTTACCCCGATGGTACGGTAGCTAAAAATAACTGATTGATTATTCGGTCATGGAAACCATTCGGTTATCCCATCACTTCTAGGGCAGGGCTTTTAAGCTTGAAATAGCCTTTTAAACTATAGGCCTACTGTAAGTAATTATTTTAATGCAGGTGACCATGGGACCTAGGCTATAACTTAATAATTTTTATCCCTATAAACTATTCACCTGTCTAACAAAATTTTTTGGCGCAGACAAAAGTTAGGTCTAGCCTTTAAGTTAATTTAATTGTAGCCTAGCCTACTATTACGATCAATTTATCTTAAAACTGTTTGTATCTTAATTTTGTGGAATCATTGAAGCTTATTCACAAAATTATTTTTACACTAAAATCTTGGTGAAATATAAGACATAGGGTGAATGTGGGTAATTTGTGAACTGGGGGAATTGTCAACTAAACTTAGGGCTGTAATTTCTTAGAGTCGGGACCACATACGTTTGCAGTTGAGGGAGGAGCCTATTTACCATATGGTTTTGAATGAACCAATGAGAACCGTGTGGTGTTGCCAAATCTAATAATACCAGCTGATTTGAAAATATTGCTTAGTATATTTTTATTAGTGTTGTCAACGGGCGATGCGGCAACGTCGCACTAGCCTTGTCTTGTGATTGGCTGCCACCAACTGCAAACTTACGTGGTCCCGACAATAGTGTATTGTTGATTTGAGTAGAAATCAATGTTTTATGTTTAGGCTATTTGGTTTGTTTTCTATTAATACAGGATAAAAATTCTAGAAAGTTAAGAGCCGCTTAACATTTTTTTTTTAGGTTGAAAGAAAAAAGTTGTGTTTTTTGTTGACAAACAAGTTGCGCTTAGACCTTAACAAATATTTTTTCTGAGAAAAAAGTAAAAGTCAAATTGGCATGAAAACTAGTAATTATGAAAGAATTTCAAATGTACAACGCATTAAATATCCTCACCCTTCATGTAAGCAATTTTCTTTTTATTTTATCAAATTCACAATTACCCTCAATATTTCACTATGTGGGGGTAATTGTGAACCTAATCTTGGGGCAACTGTGAACGCTGTTCACTTTTACCCCGCCTGTAAAAAGAAACACAGATTACTTACTAGTTTCCAGGTTGTGTTGTTCCAGTTTTTGAGATATAGGGGACAGGACAGTTAGTAGGCACATCTGTTAGTGATTTGATTTCTAAATACGCTAGTTTTTAAGGTTTTTCAAGATAAAGAAACTATTTTTAGTACAACTAATGTTTCGTAGGCCTATAGCCTAAAAGGAAAGTGCCTAATTATATGATCTAACCAAGGTAATTTAGTTTTCTTTTCTAATGGTTGATTGTTATTACAGTAGGATTTAATAATTTTAAGAAACAAATTTGTGCTCTTTCGCTGATTACAGTGAGATTATTTGGTCATTTCCTTTAAATTAATACTTTACTGTACCAAATAACTATACTCTATATTATTTTCTCATGTATAAGAATACTATTTTACTCATTAAATGCTTTAATTTCAATTATTCTGACCATTTTTTATTATTTTTACATCTACCTACCTGATTTTCTAACTATTTCAAAGTACCACGGAAAAATCTCATTTGCACGCTTATTTTTTGTCACATGCCATTGAAGTGGGGAATTTGTGAACAGTTTGAATTAGGCTTTAATTACAATTCCCCTCCTATGCTGTAGTATGTAACTTAATGTTTTCTCAACTGAGTTCACATTTACCCCAAAATTGTAGGCAATTAATTGTGAATGCTGTCCGGGCAATTAATTGTGAATGCTGAATAACTCCTTAACTAAATAGGGGGTGACATCGGCTTATATGAAATATTAAGCCCAAAATATGTATAATGCTATAACACTGATCACATTTTAAAAATTAACTTACTTACAATATTCTTGTAAATTGCGTTTATCTGAAAAATTTGTCATTGGCGTTCACAATTACCCACGTTGACCCTAAGACATAAGACATTTATTGATCTTTAGGCAAAGTTACATGCAATCGATCTTGTCATGGATGCTTGAAATGCACAAGACAGTCATAAGTACAATAGTATAAAACATTCTACACTAAAGCAAGCATAAAAAAATAAGTGTTCATTCTACAAAATTAAATAAGAGTGGCTATTTTAGAAAAAAAAAACTAAAAACATCATGCAAAATTGATGGAGCTAAAGTCTGCTTCAAAATATTCTTTTAGGCTGTAGAAGGGCCTTACTATCAACCATGCATAGATCACATTCTTAAAACTACCTAAGCTAACATGCTGAGCTGAAAACGGCAAGCAATTAAAAAGGTCAATACCTGTAGCTTCGAAGGATGTGAGAACCTTGGTCAGTCTTGTGTAGGGTCTGCAGATTTTGTTTTAACCTCGTGTCCCATGGTTGTGTACGTGCCTGTGGAGAATGAGAGTGTTTAAGTGCTGTTTGGTATGTAAGAGGCATGCAAAAATGTACAAGTTGATTACGAAGTTGATTTGAAAAGGCTTTTCAAATAACTAAAATATTACCCTTAACCAAAAAACAAAGGAATTTATTTTAAATACAACATAAAACTGAGCATTGATAATTGCGGGCAAATACTTGTATTGTGTGAATATAATTCCATCATTGTAGCCTTTTCTAGTGAAAACATTTAATGAAACAGCAGTTATTACTATGTTTATAACTCGCTCAGTTTTTGTGGCTATGTTTCAGTTGATGCAAGCAAGTTGGAATACATTTTGAACATTTTTGATCTCTGGCATTTTCACAGGTATTCACAGGACTTCCTAGTACTATGCGACCTAAAACGACCACAGACACAAGCGGTGGAACACCCCCAATGAAAAGAGGTTAGTATTTTCTTGTATTTTAAGTAGTCCATTTTACTCCTACAGAATGTTTGTTGAGTAGCCAACTAACTTTTGACACTGGCACGTATTAGGCTACAGGTTTGTGTGGTAACTGTGGACCAAAATGTTGTTTAGTAGAACCTCTATTAAGCTAGGTTTACACTAGCATGGAGCAGTGGCGCCACTAAATCACCACACCAGTTTAAGTGTCACGCCACTAGGGGTTTAGACACACAAAAGTGAATGCTCAAGCCATGCCACTGTTAATGGCGGAGTTTTAGATGACGACAGCTGGGTTTATAATTAGTAACAGTGATTGGATGGTTATTGAGGAGTTATTAGATGAAGCACGTGACATCCTGAGGTTGATTAAAACAAGGTCCTGTTGGGAAAAGAGATGGATCAGTAGAAGGATGCCCGATGACTTGGTCTTCTGGATTTTTATTAACTCATCACTATAAGTGTTTTGGAGAACGCATACAGTATTTTATCTTTGGCTTTTTTACGGTCAGATATGTTTTCCATATGTATATGGAAAAACATAATTTGTATGCATTAATTACATACAATTACCTACATTAGTTTTAATAGATTCATATTACTTACCATACCGTACTTATCTCATAATTTTACTGTAGGACCAGGCAGACCTCCTTTGAAGAGGAGAAGGACTTCTTCAGTTGCAAGTGGTAGCAAGAATGAGGACGATGAAGATTCAATTCAAGAACCCTCAAAGAAGAGGAAAAAGCTGGATCCTGTAAGAGTTAAATTTAAACTCAATAATACATCATCCAAATACTTAAGTCTTTTTTGTAAGGGGCTTTGGTCTGGAATAGGTTTGACTTAGTTTAGAGCAGGCTTAACTGTTAGTACACAGGGTGAGTTGAGGTAACAAATAAAAAAATACTGAGTACGTTGAGTGTAATGCTCAGAAATCTCTGAGAAACACAATTGAATGAATATTGTTGAAAAATGTACATATAGTAATTACCTAATTACAAATCTTTTTGTTCAGTAATTTGAACCAAAAAAATAAATCTACGCTAGTAAAATCTTTTTCATACATAACAACGTTTGCTTTTTTAAGAAAATATTTTTATTTTCTATTCAAACTATCCCGATAAATATAGTTTTTTACATTCAATAAAGACTATTATCTAAGTGTAGATACCTGTTCTCCCAATTGTATTGACCACACCTTTTTCATATATTTCAGTCTGAAACAGTGCATCAGCTTTACGAACTTATTCGTAACCACAAGAAAGAAGACGGAAGTCTGCTGTGTGATGCGTTCATCCGGGTGCCCAAACGACGACAGGAACCTGGATATTACGAGGTAGTCATACACATTGACATTTTCAAATATGAATAACCATAAGGCAAAGACGGGAAGCTTTAGAGCCATTGAGGTGGAAACATTTCAGATATGCAAATATGTTAGTGGGGAATATGAGCTCTATCATCATGCAAAATTTCAGCCCAATCCTACCAGTAGTTAATGTCTGATAAGTCTTAAACAAACAAAGACACAAACATTCAGCTTCAACTAGGCCTAATGTTACCTATATAGTATGATGTGTCCGTGAACACAATAACTTGAGTAAATTTGATAAAATTGGCATGAACTTGTGGGGATGTATACAATTGAATAAGTACAGAATACTTCGACGAGGTACATTCAACTGTCGTTACACGTAGTTTCGGCTTTTCCCAATGGGTGACAGCACGTACTGGGTCATCACTTTTTGTGTCTACAATAAACTGCATTAATGTAGTCACGCTACTGTGCTAGTAGTTTCGAATTTCGCCTATAAGTGACAGCACGTACTGGTAAAAATTTACGTTTAGGATTAAGCGGACTTTAGAATTATACCGAAGTTTGGATTATCGGGATTCCACTGTATATTGAAGCGTTGTTGTAGGATTAAAGGTCACAGGGGGAAAAATTTAAAATTTCTGAGTTAGTCTTAACACGTTCGCTGCGGCACGTCAAATGGCGGGCATATCTCCAGTGGGGCGCAGCCCTCAGCGTCGAAAAAACCCGATTGCCGCGTGTGATTGGCTATCCAATTTTGGTCTGACGAATAGCACAAATATAAGTCCTGCTTTACAACGAGAGTCGACGTAGTTCGCTAAACACCCACAGATAGCAGCATTGCTTGGAACGTAGCCGGTCCCATTGGAATTGTATTGCCAAATGGAGGGAAATAGACGGGACGAAAAGTAGATTTTTAAGCTTGCCAGACGGGGATTTTACGGGGAAATTTACTACCAACCTACACCACAACAAAATGCAAGTCACATACTACACGCTAACGTGGCATAGGTCCGCTTTCGGCCGACGCTAGAGCAAAAACGAAGATATAAAAAAGGCATTGCCGAGCGTTCCCGATGGGGTACGGACGCACCGTTCGGGGGCCTAGCACCGTACCCAATCGGGAACGGCCGCACACCACGTGTTAATGGAGAAAAAAGAAACTGTTCTAGTTTGCTTTTTTATGGATATATTTTAATCAAATTTCTCTATTTCATACTATAGGCTGCTAAGTACAGTAAATATAACATTTTTTCATAAAATATACTTTTCCCTCCCCTTTAGTGGCAAATCGAAGTACTAATAGGCAATTAATCTGACAAGTTAAAGGAATTATAGTCAAAATCCAATCGGTCAAATAGAAATTCGCTTAGTCTGCAGCTTTACTGCGGCAGGGGGTATTATAAAGTACATAGAGGATACGCGTCCGGTAACCGGACGTGGATAAGGCGTACGGCAATGACGTCATGGGGTTGCGGGAGCCTGGAACGCCTTTATTACAACAATACCATCACCATCTATCGGTGGTCGTGGTGCAGTGGATAAGGTGCTCGGCTGATATGCAAGATGTCCAGGGTTCGAGTCCCATTGGTGACATTAACTTTTTGTCGAAGATTTTGCATTGAATACCATTTATTCTTAACTGTACATCTTTAATTGGAATTTTTGGCATTTATAATTTTTTAATAGAGAAAGAATTTAACCTTAATTCGATTTTTTCATTATCAGCAAGTTTGGTTGGTTAGGTTAGGTTATGGCAGTAATTGCCGGACGTCTAATCCACGTCTGGTTACCGGACGTGTATCCTCTGCCTATAAAGTATGGTTTGACAAACCTTATACAGTAGATTAACAGCTACCGTAACACAAATCTGTTATCTGAAAAAGCACCTAATAATTTATTTAAAGTTAATCAACAAATCTAAATTTCAATAATGATGTAACCTATGATATAAATTGTTTAAACTCGTTATTGTTATTTATTTAGGTGGTTTCAAATCCAATCGACCTGTTAAAGATCCAGCAAAAGTTGAAAACAGATGAATATGAAGATGTGGAAGAGCTTCAGAATGATGTAGAGCTGCTTATCAACAATGCCAAAGCATTTTATAAAGTAAGCCCATACCGTACATGGATACTTTTACATAGGCTATATACTTTTGTCAACAAGGCTACCAGTTTAAAGAAAGATAAGCTCCTAAGGCCATTGAAAAAAACAATGTAATTCAAGGTTCTACTTTTTGTTCTGTAAACATAACTTTTCAAACACAATTTTTGTAGATTATTTTCAAAAGTGAGAATTTTTAGTTAAGTTGCTTACTAGTTTTAAACAATGTTGGAATGGTAGCATTTTAATCTTTGTTTGGGAATTTTGTAGATTTTTGTCTTTTAAGCATAAAATTAGCATGTTTTAAATCTTTACTTAGCAAAAGCTGGCCATTAATAAACGTTTTCAACGCCCTACAGCCATATTATATTTGATAATTAAGATGAAAGTATCATATATGAACTTGTAATTTTTGCATTGATATTCTTAGAACCCTGTGTTATTTTTATAACTTAATAATAACTGGAAAGTAATAATTTTCATCCATTTTTCCAAATTTCATCCCTTTTGTTGGAGGATTAGGCTTACAATTAATTAAGTCATTACAAATGGCATATTTTGTAGTTGTCTTTTAACAAGAAACCAGAAAATATGAAAAATGTTAAACAACACCATGGTATGTCTTTCTGTACAATTACAAAACTCCCTTTGACAGGAGTGCAACACCAGATCAACTTATCGTAACAACCTTCAGCATAAGTTTAATCAATAATATGTATTTTTCAGAGGAATTCTCAAGAACACAAAGATGCTTGTGAGTTATGGGAATTTTTTTTGGCTACAAAGCAAAAACTGCTCGAAGACCCCAAGTCCCTTACATCTGATGAAACACCAGAAAAAGGAAAAATCATCTTAAAAGTAGGCAAACTTGTAAGTGATCGAGTTCAGTTGCCATCCCAGACTTCTTTGCATGACTATCCATCTGGTTAATAGGTTAAAAAAACGAGGGGAGCTATTAAAACTCTGTGTACAACAATCAGTGAGTTGTATACATTTTATCAGTGCAACATTACACTTTAGATTTGCAGTCAACATTGTTGTGTTGTATTTGAATATAATGTTTAATAAACATACATATTTTTTAATCAAAAAATTTTACATCACAACTAAAATAGAAAATACTTGGTAGGGCCTACCTTACACAAACCATTTAAATCCCTGTTTTACCAATATTTATATTTTTCTTGCAATAAAGGCTACTTTTTATGGCGCTCAGCAATCCAGTACTTTTGATAATCCATCACCGGGGAAGTGCAGAATTAACCAGTTTCTGTGTTTTCTTAAACTGTTCGGCCAATTTCACACTGTTTGTAGGTAACATTACATTGGCTAGTATTTTTTTATGAAGTGAAAACTAAGATTTTGATGTCAATGGTTTTTAAATTATATAACAGAAAATCTAAACCTATGCTTAGTGGTTAGTTATAAGATAAGGCACTGTTAGAAGGGTGTACCCTTGTACAGTCTGTTGGGTGGCTGGGCACTAATGCAGTCTAATCTTTCTTATTGCTTTCAGGTATGTTAATTGTGATTTTGTGGTCACTTTAATGGTAAATTGATCTCTATTTGGCTCACGATTACATCTTAAACCACTTAACGATCATAATTTAAAATAATTGTATACTATCAGTTGTTAATAATTAATTACTGTGTGTTGATTTTTTTTGTGGTCTGTGTTACCTTATCAATACACAATATGCCAAACAAGGGCGAGTGTGCAAGTATCGATTTAAATCTTTAGAACTGAACCCAAATTTCTTTATCCTCTACCCACCAAGTATAAGTCAATCAATCTTATTTTGCAAACTCATGATCTAATATTGAATTTTCAAAATTTGTATTTATTACCACCAAGTAAAAATTGAAGTTCACCATTAAAGTGTACCAACATTGGGTTTTATAGTTGAGGGATTTCTGCTTAAGTATTGCACGAATGTTAAAACTTTCATAAATTTCTCCAATCATTCATACACATATTTTCATTATATGCATCATCAGCTTTTACTGTGTTAATTCTTCTTTTTTGTGTCAATTAAACAGTTTTTGGCAAGAGGCTGTTGAGTTTTACCTTTTTGTGTGGATTTAAACTGTTCTGTTATCAGAAATCAAACTCTGATACATCAATTACAAGTTTTGTGCATGATTTTGGTCTTATGTATGGTAGCAGATTGTTATGGTGATTCCTTTATTGTGTCGAGCCTCAATATTCATCTGGGTTGAAAGGTTTTTAAAGGTGTAGGACATTAAGGGCCGGCAGAAGATGGAGTGATGTTTGTTGTATGTAAGATGATTTGCAGGCAGCTGAGGTCACTGTAAAGGAGGAGCCGGATTACCAGCCGGTGGAGAAGAAGAGACGAGGCCCTGGCAGACCGCCCAAGGAGGAGAAGAAGGGGTGGGAGGAGGAGGTATAGTATACAGGGTGGGGAGGAAAATAAACATCCCATCTCAACGGTTACCGTGATGGGTTTTTTCTTATATTCCCACTCCTTTTTCAAGGTTTAATAAACATTTCAGGGCTTCGGGGACTGTAACTTAGTTATTAGTTCGAGAAAGAAATGTTCCAGAAGGTCGTAAAGCAGATACCAATCCAGGTATTCATTCTTTTTCAAAACAAAACGGTTTTCTCCCCTGCCCTTGTCAGTCGGTTTTGTTGAAACTTGGGTATTATATCTAGTCTTGAGTTGTCGGTTAAGGAAATGATCAATATCAAAGTTAACATTTCAAAATGGAAGAGATTTGAAAACTATAGGAAAGTTATTAATCTTTACTGCATTGGTTTAATGGAGTGCAGTTAGAAAGGGTTTTACTGTACTTTAAATGTTAAATCAAAACTCAATGTTTTTGTGGGACTACAAGAAATTACTCATGTGGAATGAAAAAGGGGAAAACTGTAAATGAATCCACAGTGTACTTACAGTCATCTCTGTTCGTATCATGACATGCAATTTGAATGTGAATGGCATCATTGCACGACTCTTGTCTCAATTTAGCACACTACAATTATCCACCACTTCACATTTACAATGTACTTTAACTGTTCTTGATTTAAGTAGGTATGCATCCGTCCTTTTGTTTAGGCCTACATCCGCATTGACTATTTAAACATTTTTTACAACACTTTTAGAGCCTAATGAAAGGAAATTGATTTCAAAAATATAACATGTTCCAAGAAAATAATTGTTATAATATAAAACTCGGTTTTAAATTACTTATTAACATTCAAGATTACACAAATTATCTTAAAGATATTGTTAGGACCTCATTTAATAACCTAACCAACATGGGATTCTATGAATCTTGTTAGCAAATTAAGCCTAAATTTTACCAAGTAAAGAACTTTGGTATTAATCTAACATGGGTATATTTTGGAAGTTCACTTTGGTAAATCCGAGGTTCAGTCAGTGGGGCCACAGGCTTTGGGCCCAAGGCAATGATATCGTGGGTTCGGTTCCTGTTACTTGCCTCTACTTTTGATCAGTACAATTCACCCTTGTAGTATACCAGTTCACCCCTTGCTTTGCTGGATATGTTCCATGCACAGGCCTCTGTGGCCTATGTGGACGAGCAAATGGAAGGTAAAAGAAACTGCCAACCTCTTTTTGGAGCTGTTATAGCTATATGCAAACAATACAGTTGTTTGCATGTGTTGTTATATGAGGTCATTTATGACTTCCAAACAATGTTTAACAGATATTTAGTATTTTCATAATTTTACAAGTAGGAGTTAGTTAAGAGTGAATTACTATTCCTACAATTATAATAAGTTATCCTTCTGTTTCATGTCTCTATAAATGAAAACTGTGCACATTCAATCCATCATTTGATCATCATTCAAACTTCAACCTTTTTAATTTTGTTTTAACGCTCATGTTTGGTATGCTTATTGGTATCATTTATCCGACCAGTATTTTGTTAAGCTACTTTTAACCACCTATAGCATGAAACATACAGTAAAAGTTTGCTTAACATAATTAACCTGTTGGCCTAATTGTAGATATTACATTTATGTTGTCTGCATGTTAATTTTATTTTGTGTATTATCTTCTTATACTTTGAAAGCAAGATTTATTATTGGTTGTTGCATTTCACAACTTGTTAAATCGATGTGTTAGGAAGGTTTTTATATTTGTTACCTACTTGTATATTGTTTAATTGTTAACAATATTTTTAGTGTGAAGTTTGCTATCCAATCAAAGTATTTATTTAATTATATTTATTTGCAGACATGCACAGGATTCTTTCCATATTTTTATAGATTGTTTATCTGTGTTGATTGAGTCCCAGATAGTCTGTGTTATATTTTTTGTTATCTGCACAATATATTCAACAGCTTTGCGATTTGTTATTTTTCATCATGAATTTCCTCAATTTCGTCCATCAATGTTCTACCATTTTATATTGAATTAGTTCATGTCTGTGTAAGGCAGCTAAAAAATGTTGACAGTAGACAATAAAATAGTCTTATTATCTAAATTCTTACCTATACTCAAACTTAATAATACATTCACATTGAAAAACAGGTCTTATGGAAGATCTGTGCTATTAAATTAACTAGAAGCATTTACAGTTTTACTAGAAGCATAAGGGTTGCTTTAACTGTGCTCGTGACCCTCATAATAGTTTTAAAAGATTTTTACACATTTCTGTAATTTTTTGCTTTTTTATAGGCTATTGGTATTTATTTTGACTTTGGTATAGTCGACATTACAGTAGACTCACAATCGCGATAATGAGTGGCTGAGTGATCATGGGTAACCAAAATCACAGATAATTTGGGAATTAAAATTTAACCTAAAATGCCTAAAACAAATATTATTAGAGAGCCTATTAGGCCCAGTAATAACAAAAATTAATCCCCACACAAAATGTAACTTTTAAAATCTATTGTGCTGTTGGGAAGGATGTGACTAGGGGTCTCAATTCTGGGGCTTTAATCCAATCCCGGTATTTCAGGATTTGTCCTAGCTGATACCGAGATCAATCCAAGAACCATACTATTTTATGGTTTCAACTTTTTAGCTTTTAAATAGCGTGGAATCTCCTGTTAAGTTCTCTAAAGTTTGAAACGGTCTTCTTACAAATGTTAACACTGCACAATTTTACAGTCTTTTTTGTAAAAAAATATTACCATACAGAAAATTTATCAGTCGTCTTTCTTATTTATGGTATATCAATGTTGATAAGTCGTTCTAGAATTTATGAAATACATCCAAAAGAAAACGTGAACACTTGCTTGTAAACGTCAAGATCCCACTCAACACTAAACTCAAAGCTGCATAGCTGAATACTTTGACAGCTGCGGAAACTAATGCCAATTTAGAACCTAATATCGAGACTAGAAAAGAATCCTCAAATTAATTTGGTTCAAAAATTAATCTCCAAAATACATTTTCTGTAGTTAGTTCTGGACTAAGTCTTGAGTTTAGTTCATAACTCATAAACACAAATATTGCTGTTCATTCTTAAAAAGTTATACAGCCTTTTGTGGGTCTTAATTTCTTAATAAACGGCAGGTATCTCAGACTGCTCTTTGAAATATGGCTCATGAACACTCCATACTGCATGGTGAATGTGGCATGGAATGTAGAAACCATTGATTTATTCCAGTACGATACTATGTTGATAGTAGAGTGAACTTAATTTTTCACAAGCTATAACAATCAAATGATTTAAAGTTGGGTTAACTGGAATGTTGCTGTGGTGTCTGTAGGCGAAGAGAGCAGCAGAGAGAGCTGCAGAGAGAGAGGCAGAAGAAGATTCATGGAGCCAGGAGGACGAGCTGGGGGCATGTGAGGATCTGTTCACTGCTGTGATGACAGCTACAGACGACACAAACCGGCCGCTGCACCTGGTGTTCCAACTGCTGCCCTCCAAGAAGGTACATACCTGTGTGGCAACTGGATTTGTAAAAGTTAGTTCTGTAGCTTTCCATTATGTCCTGGGCACAGCTGCCTCTAGTTACATTTCTTAAAGAAGACACGTGACTGTGACTGATTACTAATTGTTTGAAAAGGGATAAGAGACTCTAGATAGGAGTTTGTCCTTTTATTGAGCTTCTTCAGTGAGTAGACTAAAGGGAAAAAAATTATGAGTATTATTTGCGTCCCTTGTATCTTGTACCTTTGATTGATAATCAAGGCCTTTTAAATGCCTTAGTAACAAAGCTATAAAAATCATCAGCTCATCACACACTCATTGGTTTTTATATATTCAGGCTATGAAATTGTCTTACGTTACTATCAACTTATGAGTTATGAGTTGACAACTCATAATAGTGATCTTGTAACATATTTAAATTTGTTTTTAATTATGACATTATCTTATGTTGATACATACTGTGAATTAGCTGATAATCAATGTAAATTGTTAGATCATTTTATAGCAACGTTCTCTTATTGATCACTTGAAAAATGTTACCTTATTTAAAAAAAAAACTACAGTACACATTTAAAAAATTCCAAAACTTAACTTCACTTGACTCTTAGATACTAACATCAATGTTTTTGTTCACTATAAAGATCCAATATGTCCAATTATTTGTTGCAGAGATATCCAAAATACTATGAAGTGATAGATAATCCAATAGACCTAAGAATGATTGCTCGTAAAATTCAAGACTCTAAGTACACAAATTTAAATGAAATGGAGAAAGATCTACTTCAGATGACCCGTAACGCATGCACGTTCAACGAGCCCGGTTCCCAAATATACAAAGATGCCAAGGCTTTAAGGAAAATCATTCAGAGCAAGAAGATTGAAATTGAACATTCTAAGCTGTCCTCTGGAAAGACCAGTGAAAGAATAAGGTTTGTTACGCACGTCAGATTACTCATTTTGAACACTTTTTGGAATTATTTTAGCTAGGTTTTATAGAATATAGCTGCATCTATTTGTCTTAGCAATAATAACTTAACTAAAAAAATAAGGTGCACTGTCTTTTGGGTTTGTTGACCAAAAATATAAAACAAAGTATGTGAAAAGTACAAGGAATGAACATAGTATTTATGCTTTTATTGAACATAGATCATCACACTCCATCCTACACACACTCATCTTACATTCATATTTAGCAGATGGTAATGCTGTCTGCTGAAAGATGATAACTGGCCTGTTTGAAAATATTAATCAATCTATCTTTACTTAGTTTTGGTGATATATTTTATTGTGTGCATGCTTGAATGCTATTTGATTCGATGTTTTAAACAGTACTTTGTCCACCATGTATGCCAAATGTTAACTCATTAGCCTATTCAATTTATTTTAAACTGATTGCTCATAAAATAATTTTTTTTTAGTTTGCACCTTGAGTTTTTATATTGTTTTGGGGAATTTTGGATTGTTTTTGGTCTATGCCTGTTGGGTCATTGGTTTGCCTGTTTTTTGTTTCTATGTGTCGTCCCCTGTCGGTGTCTGTGGGTGTGGCTTGAACGTTACAGTAAACGGAAAGACACTGTTTCCAGAGCCAAGCGACTGCGGGGAGGCCAATCCCTGTCTGCAATCACGGCTGCTTTGAAAGACGACGATGATGATTCCGACGAGGAACTTGTTCATGTTACTGAGGAAGACGCGGAAAATCCTAAATGGCAGTTGTACTTGGCAGTCAAATCTGCAAGTAACGCTCAAGGTAAGGAATAGCAGATTTCGGCCCTCTTCAGAACGCGGTTATCCAAGTCCACTATTATATCTAGTAAGAATTTTTTAATTACTTTTAACCACATTGAATAAAGAAATATAATTGATCTGTGCCCATTTTGTAAACGTACATTAAACAATAAATTGTTGGGTTAGTTGATTCAGTTTCTTGTTAAAATAATTGTTGGGTTATTTGATTCTGTGTCTCAGGCTGTAAATGTTGTTGGCACAATTAATTATAGAATACTCTTTAACTTACAAATATCATCAGACTGTAGCTGTTTCAGTATTTTGGGAAGTTTATTGAATTGAACCATTGAACTTCTACATGAGTCTACTTTTGTTGAGGTCATCCGACTGAAATGCTTTTACCAACAAATAAAAAACCCATTGGTAGTTAGTCCCATTCTTCAAGGTGTAGTGTCCTGTCCCTTGAATTACAATTACTTTTAGAAAGGTATATAATGTATTAATTAGTAGTGCAATTGTTATAATTAACAAACTATGAAATGTTTTCCAAATTCTCCATGTACACCACATGGATGTACATCACTTTGTCACATAAAAGATTTGTTTGTTTTTGATATTTTCAGGAACGGTTAAAAAAGCGTGAATTATATTTTCAGCATGCAGGTGTTTGATTTTGGCCCTTAAAAGGGAGAAACCATTTGTAATCCAAAGGGGGCCTGTCTATATTTTGTATGTAAATAAATAACCTTTTCCCATTTCTAAAGGTCAGGAGCTAAGTGAACCATTTTGGAAACTACCCTCCAAGCGTTACTACCCTGACTACTACAAAGAAATCAAGAACCCTCTTTCATTAATGCAAATTGGAAAGAAATTGAAGGTTAGTGTGCGGAATAAAGTACTCTATTTTGATGTATTTAATTTAAAACTTTCAATTTTTACTCTCTTTGAGGATGTAGTAACATTACTTCAACCTCAAGATTGGGTAATTTTTTCTCTAAAGATTGGACTTTTCAAAAGATTAATGTGCTGAATCTAACTCCATTAGTTCTTTGTTGGAAGTTAATTGTTGACAGTGGTAAGATTACATAGTCTAACCGATTATTGCAGACATTTTCCATCCTGAAACGTTGTGGAAACTTTCTTTTTAGCGAATTTCCCTATAGGGAAGTAGCTATTACCGTAGGTCTCATGGTAAGACTTAGGCCCGGGACTGATTTACTTTTTCATTTTGATGTCCCCAGAGGCCAAAAACACCATTCGTTCAAATTTTTATATATGTATATATATATATATAGATATATATATATATATATAGATTTATATATATATGTGTCCTTGAACACGATAACTTGAGTAATTTTTATCCGATTTTGATGAAATTTGTTTTGAAGGTGTAAGGCGGGATAAACTTGAATGAGTTCGCGATCCAGCATGATCGGACCATGGGAACAGGATTTTATGGGGGGTTTTATGGGGTAAAAATTGGTTTTTCTCACTTTTGACCCTCAAAACACAAAATTTTCAAATTTTTCTCTAAACCTTCTTAAAGAGCTTAAAAAAACAAACAATTCAGTATATCAAAGTGTTTTTGTACGGTTATTGGTTACGGAGAAAACTAAAACAAAATTTAAATTTAAAATTCCCATGTTATTCTTATGGAGAATATTGTAAAATGTTGTAGTTTGCTTGTTTATGGATATCTTTTGATCAAACTTGGCAAATATATTCATTTTATACTAAGCAATAATTGTTTTACTTAAAACACACACTTTATTAGTTTCCTTGTAGCAGCAAACCTAGGTACTCGTTAAACCTAATGTTATTTAAATAGATCAATTGAAAATCAATTCAGCCAAATGGAAATTCGCTTAGACGGCAGGTTTGCTGCGGCGGGGGTATTTTATTAATCGTGATAGATAATGTTCACAATAATTTGGTAGATGATGTAGCCTACTTCCATTAGAATTAGATTAGAACATTGTTCATTTTTTCAGCTATTTAATAAAAATATATTTGTTAATCTTAAAAGGGTCAACTGTTGGTTTTGGGGTTAGAGCGTTGGACTTGGAAGACGTTGGTTCAAATCATTCTAAATATATTTGGCAACCTGTCAGCTTAGAGCTGTGAGAACTGTCTTTGTACCAGAGATCTCTCTCAATTAATTAATCATTGAGTGGTTTTTAAATAAATCTTAATTACTTATTAACAACTTACTTTGTCTAGTATAATTTTGCTAACTATTTCGAGTTCACTAATGGATGAAATAAACTGATTTGTATCCCCAATAATCATCCATTAATATGGTTTTTTTGGTAAATTTGGTATACAACAGCATTTAACTATGTCAACGCAAGATGAAACCTATACTGTATGTATGCCTACACTATAATTTGGTTTGCAGTAATTTAATTTAATATCTTATTATAAACTAAATGAAACAATGTTCAGAGTGTTGTAAAAATGTTGAGAAAAGAGTAATAGCTATTTACATTACAAGTGTAGTAAGAGCGTTTTTACATCACGCAGGTGAAAGTTGTGCAACGAGCGAAGCGAGTTGCATAATTTACCTAAGTGATGTAAACACGCTCTTGCGTAACGTGTAACGTACAAGATTTTACCTGACCCGACAATATACAGGAGGTTACGAACAATATTTTTCATTACCCATTTCACTCATCTTATAACAGTAAGGTTCATTTACAAACAAAAGCTAGGTTAGGAAAATTCTCCAAAACATAACAATAAAAATAAAATTCAAGCACACAGCTGATTTCTAGCGTTAAACGTCGTTGGCTCCATAGAGTTATATTTTTTAAGTTATCCACTCAATGTTATTTAAATGGGTTTCATTACATCACCGAGTGAGTTTTTTGATACTTTACATCACTCGAGAAGTAAGGAAGTTGTATACATCACGCTTAGGATAGGGAAGTTTAACATGGCGGGTTAGGTAAAAATTCAAAATAATTTGAGCAAAATCTACATTGACAAATGACAAATGACAATTCTTTATTGCACATAACATCTGTTAAAGTTAATTGTCAAGGTTTCTAATAAATAAGGAAATCTAAATAGGTATATAAAAAACCTAGGATTTAGCCAGTAAGTTACCCCTACAAAGCTACAGCATGGTGGAACTGTTTATGTTAGGAGAGGTTGATGAGAGATTGGGTGTCTGTTACCAGGAGTCGTTGAAAAATTCCTCAAGAGTGTAATATGCTTTTTCGACTAAAACTGTTTTGATTTTGTCTGTAAATTTTGCTAAGTTTAATTGCTTTAAGGAGTTTGGAATTTTATTGTAAATTTTTAACCCCATATAGAGAGGACTTGTTTTATATTTTTTTAAATTATGAGTGGGGTATTGAAAAATGTCTTGTCTTCGGGTATTATATGAGTGATTACTAAGATAATTTTGAAACATACCAGGATTTCCATGAACCATTTTTAAAATTTCAAAAACGTATATTGAAGTTAGAGTTAAAATTTTAAAATTTTGAAATAATTGTCTACATGATGTTTTTTTGGGGCAATTTGCAAGAGTAATTATTGACTTTTGTTTTTTAAAAACTGTGGACATCTGTGGCTGTCCCCCATAATGTAATACCATAGCTTAAAATAGAGTACACATAAGCATAATAAACATTTTTACATACTTCCAAGGAGGTAACCTGAATTAAAACACTTAAAGCATATCTTGTTGGACTAAGTTTTTTGTTTAGAAAATTAATATGTTCTGTCCATTGTAGTTTACTATCCAAATATATCCCTAAAAACTTTACTACATTTGTGGGCGAGGCCGTAGTTTCTGTTCCAGTGGTTGAATTTCTCAATTTGAAAATTAAAACACTAGTTTTATCTTCATTCAAAAGTAAGCCATTTTTTAAAAACCAATTTGCTATTTCTCCAATTGTTTCTTTGACATCATCATGTAACATTTTAACAGTACTTCGTCTGATGAGAGCTGTAGTATCATCTGCATAAAGGGTAAAGTTACAGATTTGACTTGAAAAATGAAAAGGTAAATCATTAATATATGTGAGGAATAAGAGAGGACCTAGGATTGAACCTTGCGGAACTCCATAGTTATTATTTGCCCAAGAAGAGTATTTGTTCCCAGAGGCGGTTTTAGAAAACTACTGTTCTTTGTTTTCTATCGCTTAAGTAAGACTTCAAAAGTTCAATTATTTGTCCATGAAAACCAATTGCTGTAAGTTTTTTGATAAGAATTTTGTGATTAACCATAAGTTTGTTTTCTTCTTTGTTTATTTACCCCCCTCCCCCCGCAAAAAAGCTCTCAAAGTTACTGCAGTGCATATCCTTGTGAATCACTTTGTGTTACATGGGTAACAATGTTTTCAGAGTGTTATTGCTTTGTTAACAGAGAGGAGACTACGGAACAGTGAGTGAAGTGGCCGGAGACATGAACATAATGTTTGAGAACGCCAAGAAGTACAACAGGGCAGATTCGCGGCTCTACAAGGACGCTGTGAAACTGCAGAAGCTGATGCAGGCCAAGGTGCAAGAACTGCTGGAACTGGACCATCAGGTAAAGCAGCTAACTGATAGCTAATGTTAATCTGAAACAGGAAAATAAAAAAAATGTAATCAATAAAACTTCTGGGATAGTTTATGTACACAACATTAGTCCTCAATTAGAATAAATACAATATTTAATTTATATAAAAAATTATATGTTTGCAACCTGGTGTCCGCCACTAAATTTTACCAGTACAGTTCACGCTTGTGCTGCACCGGCTCAGCCATTGTTTTGCTGAATACGTTTCATGCAAAAAAACAATACAAATTTCGAGTGTACTGCAGATTTCTTCATAAGATTGCTTGTAGTGATTTTATGATGTTTGTGTGGCAGTACTCTGACAGTGAAGATGACAGTGGAGGAGATGAGCCTCCTCCCAAGACTGTGGTGACCAGCAGAGGCAGCACTCGTTGTCTGACTAGAGGCAAGTACCTGGACAACATACCACTGAAGCGGAGACTCTACTCTCTATGCAAGTGCCTTATAGACTACACGGTGAGTCCCTCTGTATTGCGTTTGGCTAAATTTGATTATTGCTTGGCATTCGATGCAAATTGTAAATGAAAGGAAAAAATAAATCGGTTTATTATCAATATTTACCAATTGTTCAATGTATCTTTACAAACATTTGTGGAAAATATAGGTACAGTACCTCTTTAGTGGAAACCATGTGTTTAGGTTATCATCACTTAATTACACACTATTAACATTAAGTTAATCCAGTGCAAAACCAATTCCGTATCACAAAAATATACATTATAAAAAAACTAAAAAGAACTCTTGTGAGCATCATAAACAAAGGAAAACACTGTAACTTGAAAAAAAATCAAAAGAGGGCAATTTTGTGTAATTAAACTTAACTTAATTAGAGACACAAAATAAATGTAATTGATATTTTTTATACTAAAAAACATACTTTTAAAACATAATATATCTCTCACATCATTTATTGTAAATAACATTTTTTTACCCTTTTCGAAAATATGGAAGCTTTTAGGGCTGTCTTAATATTTACAGGCAAATTATTAAATATTATTGGAGCGATATATGAGAAAGAATTACTAAAACATGTTCTCCTAGACCTTGGAATACAATAAGATAAACCAGAACGTAAACAATCTATTAATTCTAATTGGCATATTTCCACTTCTGCAGTAGAACATATTTCAAACCTTATAAATGTACAAATGTTTTAAGGATAAAATCTTTAAACTAAAAAACAAAATAACTTCTTGATCAGCATTGTACGTGTTATTAAATTATCGAGAGTAAATAAAAGAAACGTCTTATAAAACTTAACTATTTTAAGCGTTATAAGACGTTTATTTTATTTAATCTCGGTAAAAAACAAAGGCCAAGAATGCTCAAACTTTTTTTCTAAATTAATTAACCTAATAAACCTTTTTTGTGCAACCTGTAAACATGTTAAATTTTACAAATAAGCAGCTCCCCAACAAATTATGGCATATTCCATTCTACTTTGTACCATAGAAAAATATAATTTTCTAGACGTATCTAAAGGAAATAAAATATACATATGTACATGTACAAATATACATAATGTATTTGAGAAAATATTCTTTGGACATAATTCAATTTTTTCTGTAGCTGCGATATGTGGGCCTTCCATGTAAACAGCTCGTCCCAATATAAACCTAGATATTTTGTAGAGTTGACTCTTTTTACAGAAGAACAATTGCTACAATTTGTTTTCTGTGCATTACAGTTAGTACACCTATATACAACTTCATCAAAAGTATTTTCATGAGCCCTCAAAGAAAAATTAATGAAGTTAGTTTTTACAATACTTAAAACCATTCTATTTTTTTAAAACCACATATTTAATTTAATCAAATTTTCCTCTATAGCAGACTTATTTTGGTCACAATTTGTACTGATATAATTATGTTAAAGCAGTGTCGTCAGCAAATGAGACGTTGAATTTACCATTGCAAAGACTATTTACATGCGCTAAGAAAAGGATAGGACCTAAAACTGTGCCTTGGGGCACCCCATGTTTTATTACCTTCCACTCACTCATATAATCTCCCTATTTTACACACAGTGTGAGCTACACCTCTAATACCACTGTTCAACAACAATTCTAATAGAATTGAGTGTTGAATACTATCAAACGCTTTAGAAATTTCAAAAAAAAGGCTGCTATTTTTTTCCCTTGACATGGCAAAGTTTAAAAAATCGATCAACGTATCTTCTGTTCTTTTGCCCTCTCTAAAGCCATATTGGAAAGGACTACAAAAATCAATTTTGCTAAACAAATTAATGAGTTTAATTTTCAAACAACTTAGAAAAAACTGATGTCAATGAAATTGGCCTATAATTAGACATTTTCCTTTTTTCCCCCTTCTTAAATAAAGGAGTTACATCTTGTTTGGAATTATTACTGCCAGTTTTAATGCTTCTGGAAACTGGAATGCTTCTGGTGTATACTCCAGCCAGAAGATTGATTCCTCTGGACCCTTTTGTTTCTAATCCTGTAAATAGTGGAAGTAATTAAGTATTAAGTAAAATTATTAAATGTCAATACCCTTGGCAAGCCCTGACTGTCAACATTTTTCTCTTGTTTATAAGTTCAACTTTGCTCACTAGTTGCACAAATAACTATTTGCACTGTTGTCACAACATGGATGTGATCTTTTGGTATCCTTGCAGTGTGAAGACGGGCGACAACCAATGCTGATGTTCATGGAGAAGCCCAGCAAGAAGCTGTACCCTGACTATTACAAGGTCATAGACCACCCCATAGACATGCTCACCATAGAGTCCAACATAAAGGCGGAGAAGTACCAGTGCGAGGAAGAGATACTGAGTGACTTCAAGGTAAACTATTGGTAGAAATCACTCTGGTCAGCTCGAGTTGGGCAATGTGACTATGCAAAACTTTTAACAAAGACAAGGGGGCCCATGCATAAATTGTGCATTTTAGTTGGGTTCAAAACTTATTTCCAAGGTAAAAATAATAATGCAATACTCTTTTACTGACTAATCATCAACTTCAATTCAACTAATCATCTGTTCAGGCCTATTTAATTGTTAATGAGTGATGCAATTAGTCTTTTGTACAATGATTCATTGCATCACTGTCAGTGGTAATGAGAAGTTATAAACAAAAACATAACCTCTCTTAGATGTTATGAGTAGTGACTGTTAGTACAGTCGAGTCCCACAAGCTCGGCACTCGATAACCCGGCAGTCTGGCTCACCTGGCTCAGAAAATTTGTGATTTTTTGAGTCTGAGTTGAACATGGACTCAAGCCAGCTCAAGTCAAATCATTCGCAGCTCGTACCAAGGATATGTTGTAGCCTACTATATCTGATTACTTAATACTAACTAATAATATAAATATAAATAAAGGAGGCAGTTCAAAAGCCTAACAACAAAATTGTATTGTTCTTCATTTCAACCCTAGTTCCCAATAACCCGGCATTTCTCAAACTCGGCACCCTTCCAGTCCACATTACGCCGAGTTTGCAGGACTCTACTGTAATTAAAAAACTTTCGTAGGTAAATTAGTAGAGGTGTGCGGTTATCCGAAAAATCGGGTCGGATTCGGTTCGGTTCGAATATCCGTATCCGAACCGAGCCTAAATTTGATATCCGATACTATCCGTTATATATCCGACATTTTCGGATAGACAACATATTTTGACGTTTTGGACAGAAAACTAAATCTTCATAACCATCATTAGTTTCCCTGGACAAAATTACAGCAATACGTTTCCAACGACGACGACGTAACAGCAAAGGACAAAGAAGCCGTATGATGCAATACTGATGTCTAGTTTAGTCGTTATCAGCTGTTTTGCTTTATGATTAGATTCGTCTGGAACGTTATCAGCTGCTTTGCTTTACGATTAGATTCGTCTGGAACGAACATACATAAAGCAGAAAAGAACTTCCATGGTCAACTCGTGCTTGTCTCCTAGGGGCGCTATGAGTAATAGTTTTTTTTACAGTACTGTTTTAAATCATAAAAATCTAGCCTACTTATGTGCTGTTACGTAAACAATAGATTTAATGTTTCCCGAAAAAAGTCAGAATAGAAACAATAGAAAGGCAACACAAAACACAATAGAAGGGTGGGAGGGGTTGGGCAATGACCTCGAAAGGAGCCCGGGTAATGGGTAGCAACAGTGAGTCAAGTAGGCCGTGAGGGGGGAAGGGGTGGGTACGACCTTGAAGCTATATATAGACTTGCACTACTTCCCTAAATCTTAAGGACTGGCGAGTGGTATTCCAATCACAGGACAAGAGTATTCATTGCCCGGTTTGACTTTGGATTGTCTTATTGTGTAGAAACTTTGAATAATCAAAAATAAAATTAGAACTAACCACGATTATTTAGTATTGATTGTGTATATTAAATGATTAAATGATAGGGACCAGGGGAAATATACAAACTTTTGTCATGATTTGAATTTCAACATCAAAATACAATATTGCACAATCAAGATATTTTAGGTCATTGACCTTTATTATACATCCGGTATTGCTGTTTCAGGAGAAACACGTTGATAAATTATAAATTGATATTCCCGTGGTTAAAAAGAATTATTTTATAAACCTATAAAACAAAATCATAAAATCTTACATAAAGATAATAACAATAACAGCAATTGTAAAAAGGGTATAAAGTTAACAACGTCATTATACTTTCTCTTTGTTCTTCTATTTCTTGGGTTTCCCTTCATCACGCATTCAACAAGTTGCCTAGTTGCCCATGTCGTTATCAGCTTTTGTGACATAGCACAGCAGGGAGTAAAACTTGACGAAAATCGGTTAATTTTTACCTATTATTTAATTACCAATGTACTTGATTGGTAATGTATTAATAAATTGGCCGGTTTTTGTCAAATTTTACACCAAATTTATTGGAATTTCAAGGTGAATATCAATAAAACAATTATTACCAAATATGTTTATTCATTTAAAAGATTGATTTGTGGTATTGGGTTCCCCACTGAGTGCAGCCGAGCGGCACTAATGAGGGTTGAAGTGAACAATAGACGGCTTATCAGACCCGACCCTCCCCAGTGGTCTGGAGAAAGCTTGTAAAAAAACTATTGTTGCACACGCGCTGACTTGTTGACCTTGGGCTGCTTCAACTTTAATTTTTTCAAATGAACTGTGATGTTTCAAAATCAAAAACAATAACTTGGGACCATACTGCATAACAATAATGGACTGCAATAATTGTTGAATTTAAAATCCATTTTTAACAAACTTGTAACTTTTTAACTTTTAAAACTTATCTTGGTATTTTACTTGGGGTATAATGAAGTTATGTAGGCTAGTGTAATTCTTGGTTCATCAAGGTTCTACTGAATTATGTTTGGCAGTGAATAAGTGTAGAATGAAATTTATAAAATCAGGGATACACACCTTTTACAGAGTTATAAAGCCTAATTGCTCTAATTAACTTGCCACAACATCAAATCTAGAGCCCAGTTTAGTGTATTAGTGATGTTTTCTAAACTTGGCAAACCCCAAGAATGCCACTTAAGGCCAATAATCTGTTCCAAAAACGTAAGGAAATACAATGTGAAAATAAAATTGAGATAGAAATCCTTGTCTTGTGAGAACCAGGAAACAACATAAAACATAACCTCAAGTAAACAAACCCAAACGTTTTGACATCAGTCCTGCTTAGCGTGTTGTGTGAAGATTTCGGCTGCTAGTGTACTTAATTCAAGCAACCAACTTTAGAAAATAGATGTTGTGAATTGTGATTTTCAAGAGAGAAAAACTGTGGACGTGGCTAATTTGAAATTGTATGATTCAAAATCGCCATTTATGTTTATTTACACAGCTTTACAGTGTTTTATATGTTAAAAATGCATATGCAGCTTATTATTAACCGCGCCGAACTATCCGAATCCGAAAATATCCGAATCCGAACCTCCCAATATCCGATCCAAACCGAGCCTCAACTATCCGATCCGAATCCGATCCGAAATGAAATTTCACTATCCGCACACCTCTATAAATTAGTGTACGCAACCCGTGTAAATAGCCTTAATGACAAGAGAAGAAGTTTCTAAGGCACTCGCCAAGGCTTGTAACATAAATTTCTACTCGTCTCGTCAACACTATCTTTACGCGACCGATGTGTCAAACAAATATGGACAGACATAGGGAAGAGTTATCCGGTAAAGCAGGATGTACTGAGGAACGCTTGCTAAATAAAGGCAGTTTCATTTATTTATACTATAGTGTTGTGTTTCAGCTGATGTTTGACAACTGCAAGCGCTACAATGAGGAGGGCAGCATGATCTATGATGATGCCATCAAGCTGCAGAAGATACTGATGGGCAGAGTGAAGGAGCTGGGCCCTCTACCTGACACTCCTGGCAGCTCGGCCAAGAAGTCAGCACCTCGCACGTGAGTCAATAGCGGCAAGCTTGTTACAAGGCTCATGTATAGCTCCTTGGCCTTAGTCCAATGATAAAGGGTAAAGTGCAGAAATGGGTGAGGGAGTTAAAATTGTCCGTAAAAATGTTCATTTAGGAAAGATTTGTGGTTTGGCGAATAACAGACTTTTTACTGATCACATAGGAAAAAGGGTTTACACAGCCATTTTTACTTTACCTAACCTATTTCAGCATTTTACCCTCAATCACTGCACTGAGGCCATAACCTTCAATCATCTAGCAATAAATGGTGGCATCAGATATGATACTTGTGGTAAAAATACACATCACTAACCTTATCTCACATGCGGCAGGAGATGAAATCATTAAACAAATTTTCTAAACACACAGCAACGTGTACACATCAGCTGCAGACCTGCAAATGGCGCCATTCTGTTCACAAATGATGCCAGTAAGCGACGAGGAGCTTCATTGTGGCGTACAAGCAAACCTGGGCATATACACAAACGGCCCTTACTTAAAAAAAACAACCCTCGTAAATACAAATATATAGTTGATGTAAACTTTTAGTTTAGTACTGTCGGTGGTTCAATTAGTAATAAGAGACGACAGCACATCTAAGGCAGCAATGTCGTTGATTTGCAGTGCTATTGCTATCAATAATATTTGTCAGTACCGTGTCGTTCGTTCATTGTATTGGCATTAACATTTTTACCCTTTTCACATGTTCAATGTACAGGCAGAAGCCTACGTAATCAGGCAAATGTAAGTCTTCCAACAAAAACAAACAAATAAGGGAGATGCAGATTTGTTGTAGAATCTTTGTTTTTCTGTCCAGTTTCACCCATGTGGAATGGTGTTTATTTATACAATGCAATTTGATGTACAAACTATGCGATTTTTTCATGATTACAATTAAAACACAATGATCACCTTCACATCCTAGGCCCGGATCGGTTTTACACATTACTTTAGACTAGGCCTTTCAATTCACGGCAAAATCACTTAGACAAAATCCATCGGTGATTAGCGGAATTAAAATTAAATACAATATTGAATTAATTGGGATTTGTTTTTATTATTAATATACCCAGTTGTTTTTTAGCTTGAGCCAAAAATTGATATACATATTACCAGATCAAGGCCTAAAGAGTTACAACACTCACATAAATAAGATTCATTGGTGACTGGTGTGATTTGAACCGAGGACTCCACAGACCGAAGTCCCACGCTCTACTACTCAAACAGCTCCCTTATGTTTCATAATAGAAACAAATCACAATACAATTTTATGTCCCTCCAACAATGGGGCTTTGAGTCTTAAGTATGTGGCATAAATTTAATGAAATCAAAACTAACTACACTATAAGCACCACACTTTCTGTGATGCCTTGTCCTCTTCTGCCATTTTGTCATTCTGAAAGTAAGCACAAATATTTCTCACTAATGTTTCAAGTTTCAATAACGAAAACAGGATCGCAGCCTGATTTCTATTCCCTTAAAAACGAATGTAATTGCTCAGTTCTAACAAAACAATTAAAAAGTTTAGTTTTACAAGTTTTAAAGCTTTTTAAAAGTTTAATGAGACACCAAAATAGTTAGGCTATTTGTTGTTAACATTTGTGCTATGTGGTCAAGAAGTAATGTGCTACATAGTAATTAATGCTCTATATTATTTTTTTCAATTATTTTACATTCACTCAAACAAAGAAATAAAATCACCATTGTTTACAGATTAACACCAAAGCCAAGAAAGATAACACCAAATCCCGGCCACTATGGGAAAGACTACGCCAAAATGAGAACATTCTTTAACACCATTAAAGACTACAAGGATCCCAAAAATAATCGTCAACTGAGTGTGATTTTCAACAAGCTTCCTTCAAAGATTGTGAGTATTAACATCTTTATTGTACTGCTATGCATTATATTGATGTAGTATACGTATTTAACTGGATTTATTTTTTTCTTATAGTTTAGATAGTGCCCTTTAGTTATCTTTTCAGTTACTGTTCCATACCAAGAACAAATATTTTTCACCATACATAAAATTAATAATAAGGTAGTTTATTTTGACTAAAATCTTTACTTAAACAAAAAAAATCACATTTATTCCGCTTGAATTTGTAATCATTTGCTTACGGCTGTGCAATAGTAAATTTTATTGGCTTAGAGCTGACTCATTTCAACTTTTATTAATATTAATCAAATGTTTTCAGCACTTAGTAGCTAGTAAACAATAAAAATCATTAATGCATTGCTAACGTTTAGTACATTTTACTAAAGCAATGTGTTGTAAATTACAGGAGTATCCAGACTACTACGAAGTGATAAAAAAACCAGTCAACATGGAATCGATTGCCCAGAAACTCAAGGTCGGTTCCTATGAAAACTTGGACGATCTTGTGGCAGATTTTGTTCTCATGTTTGACAACGCCTGCAAGTACAATGAGCCTGACTCGCAGATATACAAGGTATGGTGATGTTGTGTTGGTGTTCTGAGTTGTGAAGATACCCTATGCTACCATGACAGCATTGCTACTCATTCATAGGCTCACTCATTTAAAATATTTATCAAACTAACTTTTTTTGTCTATATACAATATGTAACTATGTGTTTGTGAACAGTTTTGATTGGAGTTTCTAAGACCCAAGTTTCATGAGATTCTGACATATTAAAATGAAGTGGCTCAAACGTAAAAGGCTACCTGCACAAGTGGTTGATGGGTGCACTGATGTTTCATGCTTATATACACAAACTATAAAGGCCATGAGAATTTCTTTATTTAACAAACCCCTGCCGCAGCAAACCTGCCGACCGACTAAACGAATTTCCATTTGTCTGAATTGAGTTTCAATTAAATCTATTTAAATAGCATTAGGTTTAACGAGTACCTATGTTTGCTGCTACAAGGAAATTAATAAAGTTTGTTTTTTAGTAAAATATTATTAGCTTAGTATGAAATAAAGTGTGATAAAAATATACCCATAAAAAAGCAAACTACAATATTTTACAATATTCTCCATAAAAATAACATGGAAATTCCAAATTTACATTTTTTTAGAATTTTCTCCGTAACCAATAACTGCACAAAAACTCTTCAACATAGCCTACAAAATTATTTGTCTTTTTAAGCTCTTTAAAATGGCTCAGAGAGAAATTGGGTTCAAATTTTGTGTTTAGATGGTCAAAATTGAGAAAAACCAATTTTTACCCATTAATAAAAACGGGTGTATTGCTGTAGGATGCCCTGATGCTACAGAGGGTAGCTCTGCAGACCAAACTGCAGCTCAAAGCCAATGAAGACGCAGTCCCTGACGTAACTGCAGCTGTGCAGGAGTTGCTCACATCTCTTTTTACTGCAGGTACTCAAATATACTCGTACAACAAGTACAGTAGAGTCCCGCAAACTCGGCTCTCGATAACCCGGCAGTCTGGATAACTCGGCCATCACCTGGCTTAGAAAATTAGTGATTTTTTGAGTCCGTGTTAAAAATGGACTCAAGCCAGCTCAAGCAAATCATTCGCAACTCATACCAAGGATTTGTTGTACTATATCTGATGACTTAAATACTGACTTGTATTATAAATATAAATAAAAAAAAGCGGTTAAAAAGCTTAAAAAATTGTATTTTTCTTATTTTAAACCCTTGTTCCTGATAACCCGGTATTTCACAAACTCGGCATCCTTCCAGTCCACATTACGCCGAGTTTGCGGGACTCTACTGTAGTAGCTGTAGGGGAAATTATATTACTAAGCCATCAACGTTATGTTTACTGTAAACTTAATTTTAGTTTAATTTATGTAAAATCTCTCGGCTAGGATGGCCATTTTCAGAATAAAGGGATAGCAGTTAGCCTACCTTAGGAAAAGTCCGGGCAGGCCTTGAAGAAAACGCCTGAACACAATATTTTAATTTTTTCCCCTGGGAATTGTCAATTTTATCTTGGCAAAAGTCCCTCGGGGGAAGAGATTTTATATAAGTCGACTTGCCCGTTATATAACAATGTTTAGACTATAGAATATGGATGGACTGATGTACTCGTTCCTCACGCACAGGCTTTGTCTATGTGGGGATCTTCCATTATTTTTAAGAATTATTGTAATTCCTGTAACCATTTAATTTTTCATGGAATAAATTATATTTGATTTGATTTGATTTGACGACATAGTGAAACTATTGGAAAACCATTAGTATAAATGATTCAACCCCTAAATGTAAATATCATCAAAACATCCACTTGTTTCACTTATGATAAAAAATCCCAGGTAATAATTTATTACAAGTTTTATTTTTTTATTTCATTTTTTGCAGTTTATAACCACCAAGACGAGGAGGGCCGCTGTTTCTCTGACTCTATGCAAGAACTGCCTGAACATGATGAGGTTGACGGCAAGAAGTGAGTTGATTGATAGAAAGTTTCTATACCATATGCCGGGACTAGAATCAGCAATTTGTGAATGAACTAAAATATTTGCAAGTTATTTTGCAGGGTTAAGTTTCTGTTACCATACTTATCTAGGCCTGCTCAGTTATCACTTTGATTTTAATTTGTGTCGAATCCATCTATTCAGTTATATACTCTCAATAGTATTAATTAATTGATGTGTGATTGTATGATAATTCTTACCCAATTGATTGACAGAATGAATTTCTGTCCTAAAATAAAAACATAAAAAAATATTACATTTTGGAAATTAACTGACCTGTTTAACCAGTACTTGTGGTCAGTGTACACAAAAACTTATTGTTATCAATAGTTCAGTCATTTACAACAATTTATCTGGTAAGTTGATGACGTTTTGTGTATAAGTGCAATGTATCATGTTACTTTATAGATTATTGCAAACATTTTCCGTCACGATTACTAAAAAACAAGCTTTCATTCAATTCTTCTGGGAACAGGCCAAGATCAGGTTCCTTTGTCAATATGTACTTTTATTATGACGTCACAACCAGCCTCTAGCTATAACTCTGAGTGGAATGGGAAGAAACTTCGCTTGAACTCCTGGGCACTTTGTCCCTGACAATTGAGTTGTTTGAAAAACAGTGTCCAAACTGTGACTGTCAAATTGCCCATGGGTGTATTATAAACAGTGTGGGTGCTTTTGTTCATACCCACTAAAGTTGCAATTGATTTAACATTAGACAGAAGATACTATAGACTAGAGATGTACAGGTCTTTTTTGGGAAAATGTATCCCCAATTAGTTAATCAGATAATTTGGGATGTTATCCAACTGGGTTCCAACTGTCAGCGATTTCGAGCATTGACACCTTTTTTAGTTACAATTATAATTTTTCCGCCTTGGTGACAGGAGATGTTTACAATTTCGTGGCAATTGTAGGGGACAATGATGTCCCTGCATTTGTAGGAGACCTCCACGATTTCACTGCATTATGGGAAAAGATGATTTTGTTTCACAATGGAGTGCCACAATAACAGAGTACAGTCATAATGATGGAACAGTGCAATAAAGACTTCAAACGATTCTAGTTTCTCATTAATGCTATTTGTAAGAAATTTTACTAAAGATTATAAAAAGCTTAAGTTTTTCTTGCTGCTCAGGAAGAAAAATCCCTTTCTATTCCCATCCCAAAAATCAGGAAGGAAATAATCCTGTCCTGTCCTGAACTAAATTGCAATTTTATCCATCCCTATTACAGACAAGTAAATTAAGTTAAAAATTGAATATATAGTAGCTCTTATTTTACTCCTTATAATGCTTTTCTTGTCAGCAGTTGTGTTGACAAATCAGCAGACATTTTTATATTATCAGTAGTGTTCATTATTGATGATGTGTCCAGGTTGCGAGCACTGTCTCTGGACCTCATCAAGCGTCGTCTGGATGGAGGACAATATCGCAGACTAGACCAGTTCCAGGAGGATTTATTTTCTTGTATGGAACGAGCTCGCAAGCTGTCTCGTACCGACTCTCAGGTCTTTGAAGATTCTGTGGAGCTCCAGTCGTACTTTATCAGGCAAAGGTAAATAGTCGACGTAGTTGAGTACTTTTATTTGATGAAATGATATACTTATCAAGAAAGTGAGTGATATCACTTTAAAGCATTGGTCCACTGAAACAAAGATGGGTGAGATGGGTAATCTGTCTAGTTATAGATATTGAAATACCACTTCTAATGTTAACTTTAAAAAGCTATACTAAAAAAATACAAAAAGTTATATTGTAAATCTCTTAGATCTTAAATCTGGTGAAAATGTGGATATAGTGACTTAAGTTCATGCTCACACACCTGGTTGGTGATTGGAACCAAAATTGGTCAGATGTCCTGAGATAAAGGAATCTTGGGTTGGTGGGTTTGGATAATTTCAGAGTTGTTTTCCACCAATTGTTGTTGCAGGGATGAGTTGTGTCTGAACGGTGATCTGCTGCACTCCCCTGCACTGAACTACACATTGCTGGACCTGAGTGCTGCCGTGGACCTTACCAGACAACAGAAGCTGCTGCAGGAACAACCTGAGGAGGAGGAACAGACTCGCTCCTCAGAAGACAACACCAGTCGGGTAGGTGACTTACTAACAGTCCCACAAGAAATAATAAAATCTGTTGGATTAGTTGAAAAAGCTTGTAGTATTAATTATTATCTCGTCTAAAAGTAGTTTCTGTCTGTACAGGACGGCAGTAGCCACGGAGGTTTGGCTGTAGGAGTGGCAGACAACGCTCTCAGCTTCAACCAACAGGTATCACAGAGAACATTCACTATAGGAGTAATATACTCGTACTTAGCGTTTCTCTTTTTTGTTTGACATAGGCCTAAAAATGAAAAAAAGGTGAGGGTATCTGTAACTATAAAAATTGACTTAGGATCATTAAAATATTTAGCAAAGAAAGCTTACTTTACTTTATTTAGTTGAGTTGCAGCTTACTACAATAAGCCTGCAAAATTAAAAGAAGGTGAAATAAAATACCTATCTATAACTTGAGTTGAAAACTTGTATCATTCAAATGTGTTACATTTACTTGTCTGAATATGCTTCTATTTAGCCTACACAAAACTTTCCTGAAATTTGTTGCGCTATTTTTAACTACTTCTTCCTAAGTCACAAAAAGTAAAAAAGCTTTTACATTTGAAACTTAGTGGCCCGATGAGTGGTATCTGTGTTTTGTAGAATGTCCTCAAGTAACTGTTTGCTGGACAGGTGTATCGCATAGGAGACTTTGTGTATGCAGAACCGAAGGAGCGAGGCATGGATCCGATACTGCTCAACATCCAGCGACTGTGGACCAACCAGGAGGGACAGCAGATGTTGTATGGCAACCAGTACTACAGGCCACGGGAGACCTACCACGTCACCACTAGGAAGTTCCTTGAGAAGGTCAGTGTCATAACATTGTATTCAGCCCATGTCTCTATGATGATCACATTCAATCATTTCTTGATGATGTGTTTTGTCAGCTGACATAACACTTACACAATACTGATAGGTAAATTTTGGCAAAAATATGGAGCAATTCATTTGTAAATTCCATCATTTCAAACTATGTTGCATACTAGACAGCGCTGGTGTCAGTTTTGTTGATGAGGGGAGGGTGGAGGGCACACCAGCGGTGGGTGATGCTGCCATCTAAACATGGTGACTCAGAATCTATGGCAGATACAGCAAAATAGTGTACTACTCACAGCATCCCCTGGTTGCTTCTTCTTGTGTAAGTTAATAGTTTTTAGTTTTAGGTAGTGTCTGTCTACCTGAAACATGAAAATGGAATAATTTTAAACTAAAAAAAAATGGACAGAAAAATATTGAGAAACTTTAAGTTTAATTACCTTCGTATTGATACTCCTGATTGCCATCTTTTTCAAACATAAGCTCACTACAACCAACATTAAACTTGTAAGGACAAACTTATCCCTAAACTCGCAACTAGTAGATATGATACTAGAAGATACGACTTGTGGTGTTGCAGGAGGTATTCAAGACGGACCAGCACGTGGCGATCCCTCTCAACCAGGTGCTGGGCCGGTGTTGTGTGCTCAGTGTCAAGGACTACTTCCGCTCTCGTCCAGACAACTTTGAGGAGAAGGACGTCTACGTCTGTGAGTCCCGATACTCGTCCAAAGCTAGAGCCTTCAAGAAAATTAAGGTAAACGATAGTGTAAATCTAGAATTTATTTTTTTTCCGTTCCATGCTGTTTAAGATGTTTTTATAAAATGTAAATATATGCTATATTATCTCCTCATTTGTGTCATGAATGAAAAATGGTTGTGTTAAAGTATCGATGAACATAAGCTTGGTTAGGAATATACTTAACTTACAAGTATATACTGGATTCATTAGGGAATAAATAATGTGTATTCTCACTCAAGCTATTTTAAATACGTAGGCCTGCTAAACTTTCAAATAAAAAGTATGATGTGTTCTCTTTTGTACAGAACTGGCCACAGAGCTTGACAGCCGGCTACAAACTATTGCCACGGGACGAGGTGTTGGAGCCGAAGCGAGTCATGTCTGTATTTAGAGAGAGGGTGGAGAAACACAAGGAGGAGATTGCAGAGCTGGAGGAGAGGGAGAAACTAGTGGAGAAGGAGAAACCGGTCAGTGTAACTAGTCAAAGCCTTCTTCAAGGTTGTGATTTGTCTGATAAAGTAATGGCAATTAGTTTACCATTTAGTCCAACTCGCTTTGTCTACACTTTGACAAATTCCCCACTTTGGTGAATTCCCTTGATCACAGTAACATCTATGGTGAGTTGCCGCGATCACAGTTAAATTAACGCTCGCAATATGGTTCATGCCCAGTTGATTAAATGAATCTAACACTATCATATTATTTATTTATGGCATGATTGATATTTCCAAATTATGGAAATAATATAAAAATATACACATTTAGAGTCAAATATTTTAAATAGGTCCATATGATATTTGTTAATGGCTAATAAAATATAGTACCAAATTCAATATACAATTCTAAATCTTATGTAGATTTAAACACCTTTATTTGATAATAAATAATAAGCAAACCTGATTGATTTGTTTGACAGAATGTGGTTCTCCAAACTGACGAGGCTGTCACATACTTTGAGCAGTTCAACACCAATGGCTTTGTGCTGAAGACTGGAGATTGTGTGTATGTCAAGACGGATACTGACGCCAGAGCTATCTCCCAGATTGACTCCATCTGGACTAATGCAGAGTAGGTTGACACAACATCACAAACTCAACTATTCAATTCACCGGAAAAATCTTACCCAAGTAGGGATGATCAGGACAGTCTGTGAAAAAATTAAGTTTTAAAACACAAATAACATCAATAAGTTTAATATTTAACTACAGTTAATAGCCACAAAAAAACTTAATAAAACATTGAAATTGTAAGAAAATGTAGTAAATTTAATATTGCCCAAATGATATTTATTAGTAAAGTCTAAAGAAAGACATAAATTATTCTCTTTTCAGCGAATTTCCCTATAGGGAAGTAGTAGGTGGCACGGTAAGACTTAGGCCCGGGACTGATTTAATTTTTAATTTCTAAGTCCCCAGAGGCCAAAAACACAATTCGTTCAAATTTTTATATATGTATATATAGAGTTATATGTGTTCGTCCATAAACACGATAACTTGAGTAATTTTTTTCCGATTTTGATGAAATTTGGTATAAAGGTGTAAGGCAGGACAAACTTGGATGAGTTCGCAAACCAGCATGATCGGACCATGGGAACGGGGTTTTACAGGTGTTTATTGGGTAAAAATTGATTTTTCTCATTTTTGACCCTCAAAACACAAAATTTCCCAATTTATCTCTAGACCTTTTTAAAGAGCTTAAAAAAAAACAAATAATTAATTTAGTATTTCAAAGTGTTTTTGTACAGTTATTGGTAACAAAGAGAATTTAAAAAAATTGTAAGTTTAAAATTCCCATGTTATTCTTATGGAGAATGTTGTAAAATGTTTTAGTTTGCTTGTTTATGGATATATTTTGATCAAACTTGGCAAATTTATTTATCTATTATTCTAATTCCGTTAGGAATTTCTTGTTTTAAACTAAGCTATTAGTATTTTACAAAAACAAAAAAACACACTTTATTAGTTTCCTTGTATCAGCAAACCTAGGTACTCGTTAAACCTAATGTTAATTAAATAGATTTAATTGAAAATCAATTCAGACACATGGAAATTCGTTTAGTCTGCAGGTTTGCTTCGGCGAGGGAATTTTGATTTAGAGCTATTTTGAGAACACAGAAGATAGCCTACTAGGTCTGATCATTATTGGAATCCGAAAAGTTGATAATTAGGGTGTCCAAGTGTCTATATCAAAATTTTATGTACTTTAATGAGGAAACTAGGTGTAAAAATATTTTTTAAGTGTTTTTTGACTTATTTTTATTTTCTGTAAATTTAATAAAACATTTTATGCTGATTATTGAATACAAATTTAAGGATTACCACTAAGTAGGTGTTTAGAAATTTTGTTTACAAAACTTAACCTTTTAGTCTCTCCTTCTTCATACTTAACATGGTGTGGTGATATTGCAGGGGAGAAGCGTATTTCCACGGGCCGTGGCTGGTGCTGCCATCTGCCATCCCTCACACTCCCGCCAGGACCTTCTACAAGCAGGAGGTGTTCCTCAGCACCCTGGAGGATACTAACTCTGTCAACAACATCGTGGGCAAGTGTGCAGTGCTGGAACATGGCGAATACATCTCCTGTGAGTATACATCATCCTCTGGTAATAAGTATACATATAAAATATGCAATTTGGTAGCACTATCACTTTACTAACGCATTATCGAGAGGTGATTGTTTTTCCACCATTTTCATACAAACAAGTTAGTGTACTGTGACTGGACATTTGATGCCTAACTGTTAAAACTGTTTTTATCTGTAAGAAAGGAAATAGGAAATTAATATTATCCTCTTACTTACAAGGTTGTGTTGTACTCTAAACTCAGCAGGCGATTGTGTTTTAAAAAGGAGTCGTGACAAATCTGACTTTGACCTATTATTCTTTTCCAAAAAAAATATTCTTTCAACCTTAGAATGAGTCACAAGACACTGTATATGGTACATTGCTAGTTTAAAATGCTGCAGGTACAAAACATTTCCTCTTTATAATTAATATTAAGCCCACATACATTTTTACCTTTCGCCTTTAACATCTGCATATGCTCTATCACTTATTCACTTCCAAAGTCTCTAAGTTATTGGAGCTGTGTTTATAAATATTGACAGTATTTTCATTTAATATAAGCTGAGGAATGTGTTTAAAAAGACTTTAAAGTGTAAACAAATCCATTAGATACATAAGTTATGAGAAATGAAATGGAAAATGTCTTTATTTGAGAGGCAAAGTTAGGACTAACACCAGTCTTCTCTACCACTTAACTTCTAAAACATAAATAACCATTCATTTTAACAATAACATTAATGATCAAATCCAAAGTAACATGCTATAAAAACCTATAAACATGATGAAATTAAATAAGAATGAAATATATAACGATGAGAGGGTGTTCTGTTTATATTAATGCGATTGTTGTTGTTAGGCCGGCCCACAGAGATCCCAGAGTCAGATGTGTATGTGTGTGAGTCACAATACGACGAGGCTCGACGATCCATCAAGGAGCTGCCTCGTGAAGGTCTCAAGAAGTACACTCACTCTGCCGCAGTCACGCAGGACGAGATCTACTTCTTCCGCAGACTCATCAACCCTCAGAAGGTGAAACGGTGTTCTGGCCAGTGTAAAATTGACGCTTGTGCGCTGTTAGAATTCAGGCCTATTTGCATATTTATTTAAGTGGCAATAAAGATTGCTAATTGATGGTTAGTAAGTTACCAAACTCAAGTCGCAATCCCGAGTTCTGGCTTGTTTTCTTTGTTTTTTTATATATTTAAAAATTAGTTTTAGGTCCTATGCTTGCATGTTATACATAGTATATCAATGAGTTTAATCAAAATAGGTGCTCAGTGGTGTCTTAAAAACCAATGTGTTCAAAAATATTGTTACGTTTTCATTATATGAGTAAAAATACTTACATTGTAGATACGTAGTAAACAAATCTGTTAGTAACTGACTAGTAAAAAAAGTTGGCATATTTATACATCATATTTTGCTTTTAAGAAACAAGAGGTCCAAACCTCTCCAAGTTATCTGAGTATGAAAAAAAATGTTTTCCTTTTGTAGGCTACCAAAGTCTAAGATAGGTTAGGTATTAATATCTATGCTAGCAAGTTAGTCCATTAATTTCAAAATTTTTATTTTTTGTTTGAAATTATCATGTTCAAATTACATTTATACGGTATTTGTCTTATAGGTTGGAGCCAAAGAGGCTGAGCAAGAATCAAAATCCAATCAGTACCTGCAAAACTTTGACCAGAATTCGGTGAGAGTTATTAGCTGTAGTCAGATCATTATTGGTACATTTTTTAGATTTTAATTACATCCAAAAATTAATTAACCTCATTTTGAGAAATTAATTATTTTAACAACTTTTGTTCATTTATAACTACTAGTTATATAGTTTCATTGGTATAAATTTTCATTGATTTAGCTGTATAATTTAACCATCCTGTTTTATTTTCATTTTTTAGTAATCCAGGATCCATAATTTTTTTTTTATTAAGTAAAATCAAAACTTTGAAGTAAAGTTGTTAAGTCTTGGAGTAAGAATAATAATGTTAGCATAACTATCAAACAGTTACTGTCTTCTGTCCTATCTTAACTAGTCCCATGTAGCCTATATCGATGACATCATAAACTAATGCTCTTTTTTCCCTTTGCTGCTTTCTTGAGTAATATAATGGTAAGTGTTGTCAGTGGATAAATATAGATTATGTTTGAATTGTACTGTTTGCAGATTAAATGTTGTGCTCCCTATTCCCTTAGTAGTGTTTTTGTAGTAGGTATGTTCGTACTGTGGTATTAGGTCTTTCAATTTTAGTTAAAAGGCCAATAGTTGTTGTTGATGTTTTTATTAGTTTATCTTTATTTTATTTATTACTTAATCTAACACTCTTAAGAGTTTACAGAAAAATGATATTATTATTGGAGGAGCTATAATTGTATATATTCTATCTAGCAATGCAAGTTTTATTAAAATATCTTGTCAATTTTTCAATCCAGAAATCAAAATGTTTAACAGATACACTAAAAACCTAAAAAAACTATTTTTACGTTTAAGTAGAAAACGAGTGAGCTTAGAAACTATGCTTGTAGTTTTGACCCAAGTAACTCAGGGTTCCAATGAAACACCCTGTAAATAAAATTCAAAAGTGTCGGCTTGGATATTTTTCTCAATATTTGTGTGTATTTGAACATTTAACTTTTCATCCATTTTCTATTTATTATTATTGAGTTGGTGATAAATATAGGCTACTGTATTAAATTCGTATTGCTTGTATTTAATATATTAACTGATGTGTTTGTTTGTTGCAGTGTTCAGCCTCCTCCCCCGCCACCAATATCAAGTTAGAGGACATAATGTGTGAGGACTCCATGGATGGGGGCCCCCCGTCAGTAGGCTCCTTTCATACTGGCGAGAACTCTAATGCTAGCACACCAGTCACTAGCAAGAAGGCAGGAATATTTGTTTCATTGAACCCATTAAATACAGGCTCTCTTCCGTGCTGCCATGTATTTTTCAATGTGGTGTTGTGTAGTTAAGGCATAACACTTCAATCTATGATGCTCAGGTTTAAATTGTGATTGGAATTACTTTAATTTGTTTTGATTTTCTGTTATATTTCGTCACCAGCATGGCAACTCATAAGGTCCGTGTTAATTTTTTTAAATTTTTATTCATATTTTGTGTTTATTTTTGAATCAATTTTAAATAACAGTATAAGGAGATTCTGCATATCTACAGAAAAATATCTTTCTAACAGTATGCACAGATTTTTCCTGTGATGCTCACGAGCTGAGAAAGAAGGTTTTCAAGAAACATGCTTGCCTATTTATATATAAGATGCTTTGATTTTGGTGTGAAAGTACAAAGTTTAAAAATTACTATTAGTTATAGAATTGGTTTCTTTACAGGCTGCAGGTTCTTTTAAGATTGTATTAATTTTTTGATTGGCATTTTGCCTTCTAAAGGCTGTAAAGATTTTAAAAAACTTAAAAACCTAAGATCATAAAAATGTTGTGAAAGTGAAACACTTTTATTTTACACAATTCGTGTTGCTTTATCAGAACCATGTTTCTATTACCTCTGGCTGTTGAATATTCCTTCTCTTTCACTCCTTTAAAGTTTCCTTATCTTATCGTGTTTGACCTATTCTAATGACTCCTCCCGTCACATTATTTGGCCTTCTTGTCTTTGGTTCTTACTTGGAATTTGTTTGTCCAGATTCACTGACGAAGGACGATTACATTGTCCATTCTATTTATATGTCCAATCCAAACCAACTGACTTACTTTTCCTTCTATTCTCCACAAAAACGCTCTCCTTACACCTAACACGTATTGTCCTGACAATATTCTTGTCTTTTGTTTTATTTTATAGTATTTTATTATTTATTGATTTATTTTTTTTTTAGTTGATAAATTGAGAAAAGTGATTCTTGTCTTAAAAGTAATGTGTTTTAGAAGAGGGATCAGAAAAAGCTGGTCACTGGGTATATTCTCTACTCGGGAGATGTGAGAAAAGGCATCGCTGCTGACAATCCTGCCTGTTCCTTCGGAGAAGTCAGTCGTATGGTGGGCAATGAGGTAAAACATCTCAACATAGTTATTCTCCACCTCCTCCATCTGGTCCTCACCTTACTGGCATAAGTTCTTCCTTCTTTTTTCACTTATCTATAATTAACCTGATTTCAAAGTTCTTTTATTGTACTGTACTTCCTTTTTTCCTATTTTAAAATCCTCCTCCCACACTGCTGACTGATGCTGATATTTCCAACTATGTGCTACCAAAAAGCATCTAGCATATCCATATACTGTCTTGGTTTTCAGAAAAATCAATTTAACTTCTTGGTACTAAAACCTCCAATCGCTCTAACAAAACCGTTTTGTAGGTTTTTATCGTAGTAAGTCAAAGTCAGTCAAACATTCTTTATTCATTATAGTTTCACATTACATGAACTTGAATAGAGTCATAAGCTAAATTCAAAATTGCTTACTGCTAATTAAATACATAAAAAGAGTACTAAAATTACTTTACTTTTACTTTTAACAAAACTATGACTTTAGGGATTACAGTATTTGGAATTCAAAATAAGTTAGGCCTAACTAAAGAATTCTGTTACTGAGTAGCAGGGAGTTCTTAAAAAAATATTCTTTTAAGAGCTGCTTGAATTTATTAAATTTTGTTTCTTTTCGGATGTGAGCTGGTATAGACTGGAGAAATTTTAGCCCTATAGTACATATTTGTGAATCAATAAAAATATCTTGCATCTTAAATATATACATTTTAACTTCCTATACTTTCTGTAGAGCAATTTATTATCACATTTTGATAAACTTCCCCCAACAATAACGAGTATTCTTGGGATTCTAGTGGCGCAATTTACCCACAAGTGAAAAGATCGCTTGGGAAGAGAAAGCAGCGAGGGTGAATGAGGAGACAGCAGCCAAGATGGCCGCTGAGGAAGCTGCTCCTGCTTCCCCAGCCACTACTGGTAACTGTTTATGTTGTGTATACTCACTCAACCATTAACAACCTGAAATAAGCCTTAAAATGATGTTAGGTATAATATAAAAAATAGGAGTGGAACGATTCTTAATCTCGGTTCCTTAAAACTTTCGATACCAACAGTATTGAGGAAACACCAACTCCCATTTCTTTGTGACTTTCTCAAATTGAAATCTTAATTATCTACCAAAATTGCAGTAATTAAACTTAATAATCAACTGTTCTTGCGATCACAATGACATTGTGAGTTCGCTTTTTGGAAAAATGCCAAAACTTTTAAATTCCAAAAATGGGAATACAAATTTTATACATTTTTGCAGCATATCTCTACTTTAACATATTCAGTTAATATTTGCAAGCATTGAATATTTATGATTAAAGCGTTCATTTCACTTGTAAAAATTCTACTTTGATTCATTTAACAGACCTGACTTTTTAATTTTAACCTGTTTTGTTTGGATTATTATGTATCTGTATGACTATTGTCATTACTTTGACTCACATCTGCACATTGATGACAAACTAGGTTCCAGTTTTCAGGATATGCTGTCTTGTCCTTGAACAGCTCTTATGTTAACAGTAAATGGTTTCATCTCGCACACTTAACCTGCAACTGTAACTTTTACAGTGGCCAACCAGAACCAACATCCAGACCTGGTGTACGAGTGTTGCTGGGACAACTGTGATTGGCAGTTTGAGGATATGCAGGATTGTATAGAACACGCTGTAGCCGAGGGTTGCGGCCATGTACACATGTACTTCGCAGCTGTTCCTCCTCATGGTACGTACAACACAAGATTTAATGTTAATGGTTTTTTTTCATTTGAGCTTTTTGAGCAATAGGATTTCATTTGTTGTTATTCAGTTACCAAATTAATGATACAGACCATAATCTCCAAGCTTTGTTACTGAAGGGTGGTGTTCTAAATCTTTGGAGGAAAGATAGGTCAATATTTCAGGACAGAATGTATTATTGGTAGCCATCCATACATTCATAACTTCTTGTTCCTTAATTGAAGTACTTCAAAGCAGTTCTCAAAACTTATCGTAGCTTAGCCATGATAATTAAAATAATAATAAGTGGGGTTAGGTGCTTAGTGCACTCAAGTTTCAAAGTATTCAAAGTCCATTGATCCTAAAAGCTTCTCTAAAAGTAAGAATTTTGTTCCCAAAACTTCCCAGTATAAGTCTCAAACTGGAGATGCTTTTAAATTTTTCGATTTACCATAATTCAGCGTCCCAGAAGAATAATACATAAACACAATTGGAGACCCCTTGATATAGACTTAAACTGATATACCATTTCACCTTTTAATACATGTCAAAGAGAATCATGTACAGTTTGGTTATGTGTTGTCGTGTTGGTAGAACTGGAGTTCCAGTGCCAGTGGAGGGGCTGCACCAGGATGAGGAAGGCCATCGCACCGTTCCCCAGTCTGCACCGGCTGGCGCGACATGTCAAGGAAGTGCACATCATGAAGAGTCAGGGCCGTGTGGTGCATCCTGACCACCGCAGCAAGTAAGCAAGGGCTACAACTTTCTCATGCTATTATATTATAGAAAAAAGTTTATTTTGTTACCTTGGGCCAATTACTGTACACCCTCTTTTAACTCCTAAGGCTCTAAATGAAATACTGCATGGACCATCTCTGTCCAGGCCAAAATAATGGTTGGTTTAACTGTGCAAAATTTGGTTTAAACAACATTATTTAACACCTAATGAGTTGCTTAAAGGATAGCAGGTATGTACCAGATTCTATGTACTCTTATATCTACAGAAAACCCATGGAAACATGTAAAATATATCACTTTGTAAGCAAATCAATATTAGCTATTAGCTAAATGAAAAGAAAGCAGCCATAAGAAGTGAAATTTAACACATAAAATTTTTTATTAATTGGATTTACATCATGTCGTAGAAGATATTGTAATAAAGTAAACACTCCAGTGTATTCCAGGACTTGAAGCACTTAAGCAGGCTACTGAGCACCATAAAAAATTAGTTGTTGTTGCAGGGGTAGCCCAAATAATTAATAACATTAAAAGTCAAAATGGCTATCAATATCAATAGATATCAGACAATTATTCTGAATACATCCAACTTCAGGGAATTATCTGCAAATTCTGCAGAATATGCCAAAAATCTGCTTAACAAACCCAAACTCTACAAAATATACCCAGGTCGATGTTAAACCCCCCCCCCCCTTTAAAATGGAAATTGAATTAAATGTGCCATGTTATCAGATTCCTTTGGTGGAGTTTAACTGATTGATACAAAATAGAGAGTTTATACTTTGTTAGTTTCATTGTCACTTGTCAGACATGCGAGTGCAGTGTTGCTCTGTCAGCTGATTGTTGTACATTAACACAGCTGTTTGCAGGAACTTTATGCCGTCAAGTCGTCCGCCACCCCCTCCCCCCACCACTACAGCCTCGTCCTCCATCAGTGAGACAGCTGCTGGTTTGTGTTACATTGTCTTGCTCGGTAGCCGGCTTGAACTAGGAACCTCGGCTTTTGTCATTTCATTGTTATGTTTTTTCTTTTTTTCTAGCATTTAGGTATATTGGTGTCCAGCATTGTATGGTGTATGTTATGTTGTATATTGATTTGTTTATAATTTCTATCCGTCTACAATAGATATTTGCCAAGAATGTGTTTTATTTTGTTGGTCACTCGACATGTGCATCCAGGCACATATATTTAGGCAAATTTAACTATTGAACATTCTCATATGATGTTAGTATTTTTATTTTGTTTTTTATTTTAAAACAACTTTAAAACAGTAGAAAACAGATATACCAAAAGAATATTATTACCCTATCAAAAGAATTCAAATATTTATTTATTTTATCTTTGTTGAGATCTAAATATTAACCTAAAGATTTTAAGCCAATATACTTTTTTCCAAGTGATTAACATAAAATTTCATAAAATATGATACTTTTTAAAATTTCTATTAAAAACCTTACAAAATTCAATAATTCATATCTGATTAAAACCAACTTACTATTTTTATAATCTAAAAACATCAATATATCCTTTAATAGTGAATCTGTAAGTAGATTCAGATTCGGACTAACTAAACAGAGCATGGTTGAGTGACTGTTGTGTGTCGTGTTGTGATGTGTTGGCATGTGCATGACAGGCATTTCCTGGCCTCCACGCGGACCAAGCCCGTCGCCAAACCTCTGCCCAGCACGCCTCTGCCTGGCATCGCCATGCACGCCGCATGTAAGTACAAACTGGTCTTGTAATGAGTAGTATTAGTTAACGAGTGTGCGGATCTCGTGTGTTTGGTTAGCTTTCAATCAAATAAACCTAGTAGAGGCTCATTAGAGACGTGATTTTTCAATAAGTTACACAAAAACTTTCTTTTTGGATTTTTGAAAAAATAAATTAGAATAAAAAGTAGATTTTATTTAGTATGTACAACTCAGTATTCGACTGATGATCTAAATTATTGTTTTTATTTGGGATGGTTGGGAATTTTGAGTTTGGGATGGTTGGGAATTTTGAGTTTGGGACGGGGCGGGATGGGATTTTTTCTACATGAAAAAAGGCATTAAAAAAACCATGAGTAAACATTATTGCAGATATAAAAAATGACAAACACAATACAAAAACCAACATGGGTAAAAATACACAGATATTGCAAAAAACCGTTGACTAAACAATTTTGATTTGGTGTATTTTACGTACTAAGGAATCAGACATTAGTCTCAATAAATTGTACAGCTTAGTTGTTTTTGTTTTATAGAAAAAAACAATCTATTTAGTCTTGGTAATGGAAATTTATTTCTGTAGGAAAGTTTTATCTATGACATTGGTATCTACCCATTTATTTTTACACCATATGTATATTGATGAGAGTTGATGTATGTCCTCCACAGCAATGGCGCCTGGATTGTTCTACTCTCGTAATACTCCTTCGCCAGCTTCACAGAATGGAGGAGGTGAGTGTTGAATGATTTACTCTAAAAATGTAATTTTGTATAATTCATCTTCTTACTGATTGAGCTAGTATGAAATACAGCCCTATTTTTTACTGATAAGAAAAAGCATGCATTTTATGATATTTTTTGAGTGCTTAAACGTTTTAACTTGTTTACTATGTTTTGACACTTCAAAACAAACGAAGTTTTTATTTTTGCTCTTCAATAAAAATATACCTATACTTCAGTTAGAACTTTATTTTTGTAAATTTACGTCCTTGAAAACATTTATTGTCTTAAGCTTATCTATAAGAGAGAATATCCAGACTTTATTTGGATACTGGATTAGACATTAAGACATTCCATATAAATGGTCCAGCTGTTGAGCTGTAGCCCATGGACTCTTAAGATATTATGCCATATAAATGGACCAGCTGTAGCCCATAGACTCTTAAGACATTCCATATAAATGGACCAGCTGTAGCCCATAGACTCTTAAGACATTCCATATAAATGGTCCAGTTGTAGCATCTATTTTCATGAAAAAAGAACATAGTTGAATGAGCCACTCACATAGTGTGCTTCAGTCCACAATTATTCTATTTACCCATTAGTAGTCCAGGCAAACTAAACAAACTTACATAGGGACCGTTAAAAAAATTGCAAGAAAACGTTTTATGGTTTTATTTTGTAGAGTTGGGTTTGCAGAATGACATACTAAAAGTTGCCAAAAATCGGTGCACGAGAAAACCACTAAAATCACAATTTAAAATGGCGGCTTTTTTCAACATTGGACAAATCAAAAAAACATATTTCACATGCATTTGCTATGCACATTTTTCGAGATATTGACTTGGGACCACCGCCTGTATTTATTGAGTGGTTAGTACTTCATTTTGATAGGGAACATGTTTTTGGCCGCCATCTTGGATCCGCCATATTGGACATAGATAATTTTTTTTCAATGTAATGATAGTGTTGTGACACATCATTACCAACTACATTTTTACACTGATTTCAATGCCGAAATCCGTTTTTAAATATCTTTATTCATTTAGAAGATATATACAAAAGAAAACTCTGCACCATACATTTCTTATGGACGTTTCGTAGTTTGATATTTTTTTAAAATTATTTTTCTTATATCTCCAGTTCTTATTAACGCTTGTAGTTCGTTCTAGGCTTAAAATATTCAGTAATGTAAGGGCTTTCATTTGAGCTCTTGATCATTAAAATCAGACGAGTTAAAGACCTGCTACAAACCTCAGAACAATATTAAATTTAACTTTTTAGAAATATATTTTTATTAAAATATTTATAACTCGGGTTGTTAATACGTCACCAAGTTCTTTCTTGTCTCAAATTACTCAGTGAATGTTTAGCTTTGATTTTATTAATCACTAAACAAAATCTGACAATTTTAAAATGAGCCATGGACCATAATTTAACATTAAAATGTATTTATTTTGAAATTTGTCTTTAGTTAAGGACATATATCCCAAACCCTAATAACTCCTGGAAAGTAATCCATAGCTAAAATAAAAGTCAATATTTTGGCGAATTATTTAAGACTATAAAGAGTTTTGGGAGTTATTTAGAATTAGGAATATACGTCTTTAACTAAAGACAAATTTCAATATAAATACATTCAAATGTTAAATTATGGTCCATGGCTCATTTTAAAATTGTCAGATTTTGTTTAATGATCAATAAAATTAAAGCCAAACATTTACTGAGCAATTTGAGACCAGAAAGAACTCGGTGACGTATTAACAACCCGAGTTATAAATCTTTTAATAAAAATATATTTCTAAAAAGTTAAATTTAATATTGTTCTGAGGTTCGTAGCAGGTCTTTAACTCGTCTGATTTTAATGATCAAGAGCTCAAATGAAAGCCCTTACATTACTGAATATTTTAAGCCTAGAACGAACTACAAGCGTTAATAAGAACTGGAGATATAAGAAAAATAATTTTAAAAAAATATCAAACTACGAAACGTCCATAAGAAATGTATGGTGCAGAGTTTTCTTTTGTATATATCTTCTAAATGAATAAAGATATTTAAAAACGGATTTCGGCATTGAAATCAGTGTAAAAATGTAGTTGGTAATGATGTGTCACAACACTATCATTACATTGAAAAAAAATTATCTATGTCCAATATGGCGGATCCAAGATGGCGGCCAAAAACATGTTCCCTATCAAAATGAAGTACTAACCACTCAATAAATACAGGCGGTGGTCCCAAGTCAATATCTCGAAAAATGTGCATAGCAAATGCATGTGAAATATGTTTTTTTAATTTGTCCAATGTTGAAAAAAGCCGCCATTTTAAATTGTGATTTTAGTGGTTTTCTCGTGCACCGATTTTTGGCAACTTTTAGTATGTCATTCTGCAAACCCAACTCTACAAAATAAAACCATAAAACGTTTTCTTGCAATTTTTTTAAGGTCATATCCTATATTTACCCGACTATAGTTCCTGTTATAGTTTTTGTCAAAAAAGATGCTATTGTTTGTGATAAATTGACTTTCATTTTAGCTTGGTTAAAAATTAAAAAAATGCTGCACTTGGCAAAAAGTGTTGTACAAATGTTCATTTTTTTTCCTTGTTAAACTGGCTACAACTTTGACATGGGAATAGAATGTCCAGCTCTTTCCTTAGTCAATGGTAATAGCAATTTAAGCTGTACTTTGTTGTACACTTGATATAATATATATATACAAAGTGAATTACAATTTCACCATGTTGGCATAGGTTCCATCGGAGGTCGCAACAATGAGCCGTTGTTTGTCACAGTTCCTCCAAGACCTTCACGTCTGCTGCACTCTGAGGCTTACATTAAGTATGAAATACTTCTATTAATCTTTTTGTACATGTAAGAAACATTACTCTAAAGGTGTTTTGTTTGTAAGCATCCAATTTATTTCCATGACACATATATCCAGATATTGTTATACCCTATAACTACCAATATGGGTTGAAGCTTAAACACAATTTTCCTACTCTCTGAACCCAAGTAAGGCATGAATGAAGGTAAACTGCATTTTTAGTCACATTGATTTCTTACACATTTTTGACAATGCCGAGTTGAAAAGGTGTAGTCAAATGTATATTTTGCGGATAAAAATTAAGTTGCTTGCATATCTCCTCTTTTAATCACCTGACTCGAAAATTATTTCACGCTTGAACTGATATCTTGGGCCAGTTGTTGGCCCGGCCTAAATATTTCAGGGACCCACAAAACTCTAGTAGCTACACCTCGGAACATATCAAGTTTACAGTGTTATTTCTGCCGCAGGTACATAGAGGGACTCCACTCAGGATCTCGCAGCATCAGCAACTGGGATAAGCAGTTGAAGGCGGCACAGGAAACCACTGACGCCCCAGAGTTGGCGCAACTACCGGCACACTGGCTCGGCAACGGTGTCGGTAACCATGGCAACATACTGACAGCACTGTGGACTCTGCGGGACTTTATGTTCCGAGACGCACTCGGCATCTCAAAACTAGTCTAAATCACCACCGATCTACCTCGTAACTGTGACGAGTTACAAGCCTGTGTAAAACTGTCATCTTTTGTGGATAGTGGAAAATTCAGTCCAAAGTATGGTTTGATGTGCGTTTAGTGTTTTGCCCAGAGAGAAAGAAGTTTAGTATAATAATATCAAGCAAAATTTTTATTGTAAAACGTATGTAGTATTTTCTACCTACTTAAATACTGTAAATCAAAAAACTTTTTAATTTAATTCTTTAATTTAATACTATTACCATTTGATTAGTACTCTTCACAGATTTATTTAGAGAGTATTTTGTTGTTTACTATTTGTTTCTTTTTATTTTACCTAGAAAACCACTAAAATAAGACAAATGACCAGCTTTAAATATACAATAGGATAAAAAAGAGTTTTTATCATAATTGGAATTGGACTATAATTATTTACGACCCTTACCTAATGGTATTGACCTTGAACTATGGTCAGTACTTTTGTAATACAGTATAGCAGGTTAGAATTTTGTGGGAAGATAAATATTCACATTGCTTAAATGTGGGAATTGTAGTTCAGCTGATCTCTCGATAGTTATCAGCAAGGAAATTGTTTTCTGTTATTTTGAATGTGCAATAATTTTCAAAATGCAACAGATGTATTGCAACTACCAAAGATTTGCACATAAGCGTTTGCTGCAGGTAAGAAAAGTGTTTCCGTAAGAAGCATAAATTTAAGTTCCACAGTTAACTAAACTATATACATATGTGAAAACTCACTTATCTGTTATTGCTTGTTTTTGACTGGAGATTTATAATAGTTATCAAAAATGATCTTATTTTGTTTTTATCATTATATATATACCCTAGCTATTATTGGTAGATTGTAGCTTATTTGTTTGTTCTCACCAAAACCTTAATTTTAGTCTTACCTAGCACCGATTCCTTATACATTTTTCCTAATTTTTTGGGTGTAATTTTATACCAATGTAAAACTTATAAATTAGCAAATCCTTAGATTTCAAATCCAGATTATTTTAACTCTTTGTTCTACTATTTTTTAATGACATAATCAAAAGGAGGGATTAAAATATGTATTTGGTGGAATATGTGTTTTGAGTGTTAGAATAGATGTTTGGCCATGAATTAATGTGAGCTAGTGTATCTATATTGTAAAATAGTATGTTTAGGAATTACTTCCATACTAGTATGACAATTAGAAAATATTTCTTTTCCTTAGGCAAAATATTGAAATCTGCAAAAGAATCTCTTGAGTTGATTTAATAAAATTCCAGCTAAGAAATATTTTGATAGACGAATATTACTTTAAGGTGCAATTAAAAATGTCAAAAATGTATTGGCTTTTCACATTTTCTGACACTATTAATCCTGTATAGTTGACAAATTTAGTCTATATATTTATACTTTTTTTAATGACTACAGCAAAGATTCTATATTTTTGTCATACTAATAGCAGTTGAACTAAATTTGTTATTGAATTAAAATTGTTTGAATTATTGTAATACAAAGAATTTGTGTGTTTACTTGTACAGTAATGTTTTCTTATGTTGTCATACATTTTTATACCTTTGAGTTTTGTGTCCAAAACGTGTTGTGAGTCAAAATAAATAAATAGGTACACATTTTAGTACTTACAGTTTTTATTTTACTCCTTACATCTAGCAAAACTTTTTTAGTGTCTATTATATATAGTGAAATTTCAAATGTCATATTGCAACAAGCTGTCGATACTGTAAAACTTGTTGTGTGTGAAGGAATCAATCACGCCGTGTAACAAAACAAAATTCTATTTGATAAATAATATTTTTACTGTTTGGTTGTTTGTTGAACAGTTTATTTTTATCAGTTGTTTCTTTTTCTTTTTTTTCAACGTATACCTACTATAAACCAGTTCAGCTATGAACACCCCCACTGCAAGTAAAAATCCAGCCCCGAGTAGCATGAAGGCGCCATAAACTTTGTGCAAAGTGATTGAAACCGGTTCCCTCTCTTTGGTTTGTACTTGAAAACGGTCCTTGTCATGCCAAAACGTGATCAATCCGGATTCAAATATTCGATTGCTAAATGTGTTGAGCATCTTGGCCATGACAGAGCCTCGCTGCACTATCAGAGGTGTGGACATGGTAGTGAGTAGGCAGGGGTGCATGGTGGTTACTAGACTGTCGAGGCCTTGATGTATGGCCAGCTTGTGGGACATGTAGGTAGAGTAGAGACGGGGCTGCAACACAGCCAAGTCTCTGCTGTTGTGAATCACGTCAAACACGAGTTCAGCATCATCAGCCTCTAGGATCTCAAATCTCTCCACCAAAGACTGCAAAACTCTGCTATTTTCAGATGTTGTTTTTAAAAGCTCGAACATCCTGATCCCACCTGCAACTCTGAAGTTCTTTTCGAGAATTTCTCCATGAGATTTAATTTGTTCAATGGGAATCGGAACTGTCATGAGGCTGCCGAGGAAGGCCTCGTAAGCACAACGAATCACTAGAGCCCAAGTACCCCATTGGAACAAAAGGATACGCATCGATAACAATTCAGATTTTACAATAGTCATGTGTCCTGTAATGGAAAAGAATGTCGACAAGATGAGGCTTAGTTGTCCGGTCAGGGTAGTTTCTTTCCTCTCGACCCTCCTTATGACCACGATTACTTTTGTGATTGTGATAACTGTAAAAATCAACACACACCACACAATGAGTGAGAATTCTATCCAGTAAATAGTCCATAGAGGTATGTATCTACCGGCGTTCATCGGTATTGCCCATGTAATGCATTGAGGAATTGAAGAGAAGCAGTATTCCAGCATTGGATCGTTCAATGCATTTATGTTGGAATACAAACCAAATCCAAACTCGTAGGACTTGTTATCATTCATCAAATCTGTTTGCATCGAATTATTGTAGAAAAACCATCCACCGGTGTCATTGAAAACATTAGTATATGTAAAAGAAATGTTGTAGTGAGCTTTCAAAGTATCCAGCAAGTACAGGATTGTTCCTTCCACCTCCCAAGTTCCGTCGGGCCCCCTGGTGAGAACACTGTACGGGTAGAGGTTGTTCCCAAAACACAACACTTTGCAGCCGTAGAAGTTCAATAGCTTCTTGGACCCAGAAAAAAGGTTGAAATTGGTCTCAAATCCTTGAGGTGAACATCTGTCTACTTTTTGGATTTGGACCCCACTTCCGCATATTTTTTCTGTGTAAGGGAAATATGTGAATATATCATAAGTCTTTGAAGTTTTACTGGGGATGAAACTAACTACCCTCAATATTCTATGAATCCAAAACAAACTGTGCACTCTGGACACAAAATATGTAGTTGTATTTGGAGGCCAAATCATTAGGTAAAATGACCCCTTGCTGCCTCTTGATAGTATCGAATCAAATATTTTATCAGTGGTCACATTTTCTATGGGTTGAATTATGTACATCCTCCTGTAAGTGAACAAATCTGTAGGTGGTAGAGAGTGAATGCCAACAGCCTTATTCAATCCTTGTATCAACAGTTTCTCCCCAACAGAGGCTGGTAACTCCTTTGTCAGAAATGTAATAGTTCTTTCTTGACAGAAGCGCTCTATTGTGGATTGAACACAGTCAACCAATGTTTTGTCGAACATTGCTGTGTTATTCAGCTGCAATTTACCAATAACAACCACAAATGAAAGGTTCAATATTATAAAAGTAGAAAATGTAGTAGTAGGAACCATGTTGGACACAATACCAAAATTATAGTAGAAATTGTAAAATGTACTTCGTTACAAGACAACACCAGAGTTTAGAAACAAGTGATATTTTCTGGTGAGTGTTGGAGTACGGTAAGTAATATTTACCTAATATTTCAATACAACTACTCCTTGTAATCTAGTAATGGAAGTAGACTTCATAACCTCAGGTAGTTATATAGCTAAGTGACCAATTAGTCCATACACTTAGTGGCTTGCAATTTCATATGTTTTTTTTAAATAATTTCCAACAAGGTTTTTAACAGAATTAAGTTGACTGCAGTCCAACCAAATATTTAACAATACTTTTCATTAAAACAAATATCCAAAAAGTGTAGATCCCAAATGTGAGCCATTAAAATATGTCTACAGGATATTTTGTAAAAAACTGTTGGGGCAATGCAACATACCTATGTAAAGCAAACAGTGAAAAAGAATGAAAGTATTTAAAATACTTTAATACTTTATTCTGAAATGGCGACCATACGAATGTAGCCAAAATATGTATTAAGCCAAGTATGTATATAGATATGAGTATAGGATGAGCTGGACAAAGAGCTGAACCATAGACTAACCTGTGTACTATCTATTGCTGAACTTAATTTTCTTATCAAAATTTTACAGAATATAAAAAAAACCCACAAATATTATAAACTAAAAATGTTCAGTCAATTTATTACAGAATACAAAGTTAATAATCCACATCCCTAATCCTATTTTCCTCTTCTAGATTTTATTATTACTATGATCTTTCCTTCTAGACTGTTATTAAATTGTCATAATCAGCTGAGCCTAACAACACATTTGCCTGTTGTCTAGCAACTTAAATTATTATTGTGTTCTAAGAAAAAAATTTGTAGAATCAAAATTTATTCAGGTCAATTAAATTAAATATTTTAAAAGTAAATTAGCATTCTCAGTAGATTTCTGGAGAAATGGCACCTGTAGAATTCGGCTTAGAGCAATACCACAATGAAATGAATCTTCAACCAAGCAGGAAGCAATTGACAAAATTCCTGGAATCGCAAGGGTACAAGTTAGGGCCTACTGTCGGAGAGGGTTCTTACAGCAGGGTCAAGTCAGGTATCAAGATTTGTCCTGATGGGACCATTGCAAGAGTGGCCTGCAAAGTTATAAATAAGAGAAAGGCTTCCCAAGACTTCATCAATAGATTTCTCCCAAGGGAGATAGAAATCATCCGGAACCTTGAGCACCCGAATTTGCTGGGAGTCTATGATGTGTTTGAGAGCCCAGACCAAGTGTTTATCTTCACTAACTACTGCGAAAGAGGAGACCTTCTTGACTACATCAAACGCAAAGGTGCTCTCCCCAACGAGAAAGCCAAAAGATTCTTCAGGTAAGTTAAAATGGTGTTGATTTTTTAGTAAACAATTTATTTGACGAATTCCTAGTTAAAGAAAACTTCTAGAGGCCTGAGTGGCTACTAAAAACGATTTTCAATACTGATGTCTATATTTAGGAGATGAAAGATTGTAGATTTTGGTAACATTCCTTCAATCATTTTACCATTTGGGCTGGCAGTCATAGGGAAATTTAATATGGTATTCCTTCTACCACCTCAAGTGTGACAGCATGTAACCAATGATTGTTTTCCAGCATGTTAGTATCTGCAATCCACTACCTCCACTCTCAGGATATCAGCCACCGAGATGTCAAATGTGAGAATATATTCATTACTGCTAACGAACACATAATGCTTGGAGACTTTGGTTTTGCTCGTTCCTGCAGGGATCCAGCAACGGGGAGCCGAATTCTCAGTGACACTTTCTGTGGAAGTGCAGCATACGCGGCTCCAGAAATCCTCCAGGTGATTTTACTTAGTTTAATTGGTCTTAAGTCAAAGTGCTTTTGGGGGTTAAGCTATTTAACATTGTGTGAGTCAGAATTACTTTTGAACAATTTTGTTGATGCTTTCCGAAAAATATCTTTGGACAAAACAAGAGAATAATGCACTTAAAATTGAAATCATTATAAGATCATATGTCATTTTGAAGGAATTTAATAAATGCTCACCTAACAAATATTAAATTTTCATACAAATTTCTGGTTTTTCTAGTCTTAGAGTTTTTCAACACAGATTCAGTAGCCATAACTGTTTGCAACGGCAAGGCTTTAGGCTATGATCTCCACAAAGGTTATTTGCTTTTTATATTCGATAATGTATATAAAATATCGTAATGCACATTGTTGATTTCTTAACAGAGTGTTTTCTTTCAGGGTACTCCATACAACCCTAAGATGTATGACGTTTGGTCACTAGGATGTGTGTTGTACATTATGTTGACGGGAGTTATGCCTTTTGATGATTCAAATATTACACTGATGCTTCAAACCCAGCAGCAAAAACGCTTCCCAATACACCAATTCAACCTGAGGATTTCTGCCATCCAGCTTATCAAGTAAGAATCATAAAACATTTCAAATAATTAATGGACATGTCCATGAATAATTTAAAATATTATTCCTAATTTTATTCATAGGTTTATTGCGGACATTTTCCATCACGATTGTAAAAAGGTATTCCTAATTATTGCTAATACTTAAGAATAATAAACATTAATGATAATAATAATAATCAATCTTAATTGGTATTATTAATAATTCTTGCAAATATATTACCCCCTAACATTACAAATTATTAATAGACGTAGCAACCGAAAAGTGTTTACTTTTAACTGTAAAAATATTAAAATATCCTATGAAAATATAGCTCTAGTTTGATTTTTTTAGGAAAATTTGAACACTGAACAAACTAAACTGATGATAAAAAACATGAACATTCTAAACAGCCAACACTAACAAACTGTCAACCATTTTTAGATAAAAATAAGTAACTTTGTATTGGTTTCTTTTCTAGCCTAATAAAAAATTGTTTACACACTATAAATTCACAGGTAAAAGCCAAAATAGTAATTAGTAAGTGAGGGGGGGGGGGGTTACCAAAAGAATATTTTGACAATTATATAGGCAACATGATTTGATAAATTATTATCAATTTGTCCGTATAGCTCGAGTTAGCTGACATTAAGTTTTGTTTCAGCCGCATGTTGGAGCCTGACGTGACTCGTAGAGCCACCATCAATCAAGTCTCGCAGAGTCTTTGGCTCAACGAACAAATCAACCCCATGCTGTACACTAGAGTCCCCTATTGACCTTTGCTCTGCTACATCAGCAAATAATACAAACACAATGCTTAAATCGCCAATAAATGTTTTGCTGACTAATGTAATTTTCTATTGTGTCCAAGTACAGTAATTCAAAATTTTTATTTGGTTTTTATACACACCCAGCACCCCCAATGACATTTTTTTGGAAGGGGGCAGTCCAAACTCGCTTGTTAGTATCTAACAAAGACCTTTTGTAAGTTATAGCCTAGCATCAATAGCCCACTGACAATTAATTATGGAACCTGAATCTGCTAACGATCTTGCTTGGAGTCAAACCAGCAGTCATCAGATTTTAAAGGAAGCACTATAACTACTCGTCCATCATTTTTTACATCAGACGGAGCTGCGAGTTTTACAGGCTCGTTGTTTTGCTATCTTTGTAAGCTTGGGATCAACCTTTCATCTTCAATCAAATGTGAGGCACAGGTATAGAGTGCAGTTAAAATAATCAAAAACTATATTCGAAAGGCTACGGCTATCCCAACCATGCAAACCTCTCAAGGTGTATAAATAAATTCTTGTTTCAGTATTGTGACACACCACTTACAACAACAGGTGAATCACCTTAGATGTGTTCTTTAATTGTTAACACCACACTTTATTACTTTATAAATTTATTTGTTACTGATGACGTTGTGGAATCAAACCAATCAAAGCAAAAAGTACTGTATTTTTAGGGGTGTCAGTTTTTAAATAGGCCAAGATGTAAATATTCAAGATTTTCAAGCTAGTAAAGAGTGTAGTACCATTTAATGGCAAACTGTGGTTGTTAGAGAAATTTTAGGGTCTCAAACTTACGACTAATAAAAATACAACTTGGAAAAGACATCATTAAGGGAAAACAAAGGCAAAATGTTAAATAACTTTAACCAGAATTGGCACTTTACAACACAGAGTATATTGATTTTTATGATATTGGAGAAAAAACCACAATTTTCTGATGAAATGTAAAAAAAATTCTTAATAAATTTCAATAAGATTACATATCTAGTAACAATAGCACAACCCACATAGTAAAAACCCGCTTGAGTTTACATTTATTTGTGGAAAAAGGTCATAAAATCAGTCTTTTATTTGGCATGTTTTTGTATGAGGTCCAAGACTTCTTTGACATCTTGGCTTGATCCAAGGAAGATGGGACATCTCTGGTGGATGGAGGTTGGTATAACATCCAACACTGCACGACTTCCATCAGAGGCTAGTCCTCCAGCCTCCTCTACTAGGTACGCCATCGGAACTCCCTCGTACAGCAGCCTCAACTACGCAGACAGACACAAACAATCATCAACGTTAATAGATTAATTGTCTACTGGCTAAATGAATAAAGTAAATTATTGGGAGGTTGCCATTAAACAATCTAATTCTGAACCTAACTGTATATGATTATATTGTTGTACTGAACATTTGAACAGTTTATAGCCACGACAGGTTATCACAGTAATATACAATTTTAAGAAGGGAAATGTAATTTTGATTAATATAACGTACTGTACTTTACCTTCCCCTTGGGCGAGTCCTTAGTAGCAGGGTACATGAAAATTCCTCCGTACTTAAGCGTCCTGTGTACATCAGCCACCATGGAACCCACATAACGTGCTCCGTAAGGTTTGCCAAACTAGAAAAATAAACACAAAAATCATATGGGTTTAGACTGCTTTCTCAAATAGCAGTTGACTAAAGATACAAACACACAGAACACAGTGTGTCTCCTCCTCTCCCATTCCCATATAATTATCACAAATTGTAAATGAAAATTGGTTTTTATGAAAACAAAAACCAAGCAATGTGTAAATTCATTAACAACATAACACTTTTTCCTACTTTTAAACAAAAAATTGGACAGTTGGGGAAACGTAACGGATTTTGACGCAATCTTTAAATGAATGCCGCTACATTTTACATTTTACTATAAATTTTCATGGATAGTAAAAAGTAAAACCATGATCACGTAGACCAATATGGATCACGCCTTTCCAACTAACATTCTAGCAACTAATAATCAAGAAGATGTTTAAACACTTTTTAGATGTAAAAAAAACCTTAAATCAGAGAGCAGCCACACATTTCAGTTTAAGAAAATTTGTTTGGATCTCCTTTTGCTGAATAAAGATAGACTTAGACTTAAGTTTGTTGAAAATACCTTCTTAAAAGTGTATTGCCTTTTGAACGGTGACAATTTAAAACACTGAATACATTTCAGTGACATTTTTTCAGAAAAAGTAGTGTTTATTTAGCAATTGATACATCTATTTGATCCATCTAATGAATGCATACAGCTAGTGGGGCCTTGATACAGCACCGCCGGTACTTTGAAATCATTTTACTAACAATAACAATCTATTTTGGTCTCTATCATGAACTATGAATACTGATGATTTCAGCTAGAATATTACCTTTGGATCTTTTTTTCTGTCCACATATTCCCTGATGGCAGGATCCCAGAGATGTGTGTAGCCTTCATTAATGCTGTAGATTTTACCTTTTGATGGTAAACGGATGTTTGGGTCGGTTAAAATAAATTCACCAATGGCCTGGAAAGAACACCAAAATTATTAAAGCATTTCAAATCGGCACTAAATCTTTATACACCTCTATCTTAAAGTTAAAACATTTTTCACAACAAAAACCTGAAGACATTCATTAACACCAACAAAACAACTTGTATTGCCTACTAACTTACCTTTAATTTGCAAAGTAATAGCTAATGTTTTTTTTTTTTTTTACCTTTTACCTTAAAATTGGAAAACAATTCAAACACAGCTACGTCAGGAGTATGCTTTTGGGTTCTTAGAAAAGTAAAACTGGACCCATTAATCAATCATCGTTAATTCACCATTGCCTCCTGTGGTTGTGGCAACAAATTGTCATTCCACCACTGTCCTGAAGACATCACTATCAGCTCCTGTGATCATGGCAATACTTTAACGTTCCCCGTCATTGCAAAAGAGATCACCACGTCTCCTGCGATTGTAGCAATTTATTGACAATACATTGCGGTCGCAAAGTCATCATTGACTTCCGCAATTGAGGCAAAATTATGAGCATCTCTCTCTTGCGATCACGAAGATATCAAGTTGTTGCGACGAACAAATGTTGATTAGTTATGAATAGCAAAATGGTGTTGCAAAAATGAATTAAACAAACAAAGTTTTAGGGCTTCTTATTAACAAACCTATAAACTATCAATGACAATATGTAAACAAATCCCCGCCCCCAAATCCCAGTTACGCAGGTGCGTCGCTGTCCCCCCTGATAATAAATATGAAAAAACCAGTAATGTTGTATTTAAAATCTGATTGAAATAAATAAAACAAATTACCGACCGGGTCCAACATGAAGCCGTTGACGCCAGAACCTCGGCCGAGAGCCAGCACCATCATGGTGGCCGAGCCGTAGAGTGCATAACCAGCGGCAACCAGCTGACGTCCGGACTGTAGAGCGTCCTTCTCACTTACTGGGCTCGTGCCATCTGGCCTCCTGCCACACAAACCATGCATAACGGTAGCGTAATTAGTAGTTGAAAAAATATTAAGGTCTTTTCCATTATACAACTAAGTACCACTAAATTTACCACTAAACCTTTGGCTGTCCACCCATTGGTCGGTCCCAACAGTCTATGGCACTAACAGCACTAATAATGAATGTCCAAGTAAGACGTGCAGCACATCTCTGTAGGTGTTGTATTGCTTTCAACCATCAAAGATTATACCATTGTGTAAAGTTAATACTTCCATTAGATAGTTTGTTGTAAGTGGTGTTGTGCTGGTGTTGTGGTGGTGGTTGTCTTGGGGCTAGTGGGTTGCATTATCACTTGGATATTGGTGATTGGCATAATTTGAACTCAGGACCTTTTGGCTACCAAAGTACTCCACTAGACCATATCGCCATCGCCATATCCTCATATCCCCCGTTGGAGGTCAAAAGGTCGGCAAACTTTTAAAACTACTTCCAAAATGATTCAGTTACAAGTAAAAATGTAATTATTTCATTGAACGTACTTCTTTTGTAGTAGGCCTACATATAGGTGTCCTCTCTTATCAAGTTTGTCAATGTGCATTTTTAAAGTAATCATGCTGGATTGGGTTTAAAATAGATTGTTTTTAACTCAACTTTCTCTTTAACTCCTTTTTAACTCTCTTTTTTTAACCCTTCCTTACAGATACCTTATATTTTCTTTGAGCTCATTAATTTTCTGAAAGCTTTGTTGTTTACCAGTTTTATCAAGCTCTGCACAAAACTTGTACAAATAATGATTCAGGCCTGTTTTATTCCCAAAATATTATTTAATTTATGATATTATGATTAATTTGAATTTACTTAACAGACCTGTAAATGCTGAAAATGGAACCAATTGAGACCAGGCAGTCTATGTTGGAAGACCCATCGAGAGGATCGAAACACACTATGTACTTGCCCTGTTTCTCTGCTTCAACCTGCAATAATAGTGATTATTTTAATTTATTTTAAAACTAGCAGTTACCTGGCGCACCTTGCTGTGCTAACAACTATTATTTTAAATGGTAATTTGTCCTTTACGATAAATAATATGAAAAAATGTATACCAAAAGCAAAAGTTTAATACCTGAGATGGCACACACGATTATTATTCACTTAATAATGTATGTTAGATTGTGTGGGTATAGAACAAAAGATAAAACCATTAAGGCATTGCCATCCCTTTCATTTTTATAATACTTTATTGACAAAGGTTTTTACTTTTTATGTTTTCATATTAATTTAATAGTGGAGAATTTAAACATTGTTGAGTGCACAGGTGTGCTGCGATTGGGGTTTTTAATATATTTTTACCTATCCAAAAGTAAAATAATTTTCTGTACTGCATTGGAAAAACAGTGAGGCACTATTTCAAATCATGACTAATACAGAATGTTTGATTATTCAAACCTACAAAACAGTTGGTATAATTTTTGATTATAGGCTAGTTCTGGTTTCAAGGTGCATGTGCTGCATGTTATTCTGATTCAGTTATTGTAAAACTTACGATGATGGCTTGTTCGTTCTCTTCGCTGACCAGGACGCAGGTTGTGAAGGATGAGGACAACATGTTGATGAACATCTCGTTGGAGAGAACATCCAGCTTTTTAACCTCCTCTCCCTGAACATTGGTGGAGCCTGCGATTCCAAACCTGCAACCCATTTCCCCAATCAGATCCAAGAGATTCTAATCAGAAATCAAAAAGCTTATCTTTCATTCACATTTGTCACCCAATTCCCTATGCGAATGCGATCACCACCTTGTGCTAGTGGTACTAATGACGACTTAAAGGACTACTTGAATAGAATCAAGGTAACTTAACCTCTTGTGTAAAAGGAGTTTCTGTTAGTTTTGTACACAAACTAGACCTTTTCTACTTTTTTTTTTCAAGAACCCTACAAGGATGGACAGAGAATTTCTAGTTATAAAGGGCACAGACACCACCAGCCATATAAATATTTTATCAGGGTTTATAAGAAGGTAAAAACATTTTCAAAAAATAGCAACCCATTATTTTTTCAGAATAAAATTATAGTCATAAAATCAATTTATTGTTGATCGATCAATTGATTGATTGGGCAAAAAGTGGATTATGGAGTTAAAAGTAAAGTACATATATTACATATATTATAAGTAGTTGTCTAAATTACCAAGAGTATTCTTTTCTTACTTTCTTCTTATCCCTTTTTGATATGCAAGTGAGTTGTTTTCCTCTCTCTATACTGTTTAATCTTATTTGTTATTTATTGGAAGTAAAGTATCACAATAAGATACAGAAAACATATTTGAAGATGAGCAATGGAGAAACTAACTTATCACTCAGTCAAACATCACTTTCTTGGAATCTTAGCTTACAAAAAAACTGTATGAGTTTTCTACAGAATATAGTAATAAAATATTTAATAAAAACTTGAGAATTGGTCTAGATCAGTCTATTCTATTATGTTGAATTTTATGTCACTTTGTCACAACAGCAAACAGCAAGGTAAGCCGTAAGCCCCATAACCACTGGCTTCCCACACAATATTGATTTTGAAAACTTTGTAATCACAGTTTTCCATAGTCAGTCCATAGTTTAGATTTTTTTGTCATATCCATATTATATAAATCCCAAAGTACGCATGAACTTTTGAGAAAACTACAAGTCACACCCCCATAATCCACACTTAAAATGTTCGTAATAACAAGAAACTTTGTGCAAAACCATCCATTATTTTAAATTGCCCTTCAAGGTCGTAATTCCTTTTCTAAAAGGGAACTTTCCATATACTGTACCTATTGTTAAAAATACCTCAGCTGTACTTATGTTATTCTTTTTATTTATTACTTTACTAAAATCAGGTGTGATTATCTGGTTCTATTACTGTATTCTGCTTTGTCTATTTCCCCTTTTATTTTTGACTATTTATCTATATAATTAATACGCTACATGAAACTTTGTCGGTTGAACTCCTCCGCCATTTCTTAACCGATTTTATCCATTGACGTCTCATTGGAAAGAGTGTGTCGCATAGATTTGCAAACTGGCCTTACATTTTTGAAAGCGTCCCTTGGGCTCTGCCCCAGTGGCTTTGAAAGTTCCCATGTTATCCTTATGGAGAACATAATTGTTTACATTTTGATCAGCTGTACAGTATAATTTAATTGCTGTTATTTATTTTTCAATTCAACAAAACGCATTGGGTACATTTACTGATTTTGAAGAAATTAAATATTTACTATTTAAATTTACATTCGTACATATTACAATGTAAAAAATCGAGAAAGCCTGGTCAATTTTATATGTTTTACCAAATAAGAAAAATGAATTGACAGGGTACTGTAATTCTTGAGCAATCATTGAAAGAACTGATTTGTTAACCATGGAAACATAGGAAAGTAATAGAACGCCACCAAAAAAGTAGAAGAAATAGAGATAAAAAATACAATCGTTATCATCCTATATAAAGAAGAACACATACAATATGAAGATTCCCACAAACAATGAATAAGGATGTGTTAGCCGAAGTGCTACTATTTTGTTGGAAACACGGACTTAACTTTATGATGATTGGCAAAGGAAACCCCTCTAAGGCCGAATTAAACTGGGTATGGCAAGGACATTAAATATGTTTTCATACAAGTCAAGTGATTTTAAAATAATATGACTACATCCAACAAACCTTAATAAAACTTTCATTGGAGGATTCACACTATTCACATTATTATTCACATTCAAGGGAAACAAAAAATCATCTGAACATTATGCCTTTCAATTCTGCATTTTTCCAGGTAAATATAACTTACGTTATAACAGTAACTAGCCAAATTAATGCCAATTGAAGCAAATATAATTGTGACAGAGAGGTTATGCAGAAAATCAGTCAATTCTTAAGTAATGTAAACATAATGTTATCGCTATAAAAAATTACTGAAATTTGTAAACGTACTGGCGACAATGTTACCATGCTGACTACATTATCATTGACAAAAATCTACATGGACAACCTAATGCGGCTATAAGTGGGAAACATTTGTAGAATACCCTAAAAACCAGATCAGCTTATAAAATATTTACAAGAAATGTTTATTATATGGAATTGTTAGGTACATAATCTATGAGTTGTTGAGTCTTTTAAACTCATCGGAAATTATAACTTTTATTAGTTTTTTAATATGTTATTTGTTTTTTAAATAACTACTTTACTTCTTTGCAATTGCTCGATTTCGAGCAACATGTACACTAGTTGAACTTAACCAATAAAAACTATTTTAGTTTTGCAACATAGTTTTTTCATATAATGTGCAATATGACAAAAAAATAGTTCATCACACAGACAGAAAGTGTCTTTTCAACTCTTGCTCATTTTCTGACAACAAGCTCAGGTCGAAAAGAGTCACTTTACGCCCTAGTAATGGTATAATTATACTATTTTATACTTCATTTGCGATTATTTTTAAAAATTAGTTGAAAGGAGGAGCAAAGCAAATCATATTATGTACTGTATATGGTTTATGAATCATTGATGTTTTGTTTGTTAAAAGTTATCCCTTGATCCAAAGGTACAGGGTCAAAGTACTCTAATCTTATCTAGTCTGGTGCATGAACCATTGTAGTTAACAATTCTGAGTTCACAACTTTCTAAAGTTATCAATGAACTTGTCGACCAAACCCTGAGAAGTATTTTCCTCATTTGGATTGTTAAATTTCACTTGGTTTGAAAAACATAACTATATGCAAAATTATAGAATATAAGGTAAAGATGATGCTAAAAAGTTGTACAACCACCTTCTTTCTGGAAAGGTAATGATGAGATGAAGCCATTATCTAAAGTAAACGCCATTAGCAAGGTCATTGTACAAAAACAAGGCCTTTTCTACTTTCCTTTTCAGGAACCCAATGAGGTTGGGCAGAGGATTATTTTGCGACAAATAGCACAAAAGAAACATACATATCGAATATTTAGAAGGGTTTATTAGATAATATAAAATATGTTTTCAAATAATAGCAACCCATTATTATGATTATTATTTCACATGTTAAAATAAAGCAATAATATAGAATTTGTAAAGATTCACAGCTCATTATAGGAGTTTTATTGCAAAACAAAACGCTAAATTTAATGTTGGCTCATGTGTGGACATTTAAATAAAAAATTAAGGTTTAAAAATGTATCATTTCACACATTATTGACCTAGCCCCCTAAAATACAAACTGAACGTTGCAAAGTCTCTCAAATCATGTAGGTCAAAACATATCATACAAAACAAAAGAGCGATTTGCCACAACAACATCAAAACTTAACATACCGTAATGGTCAGGTGAAAAACAGTTCGATGTTGAACGCTCTTTAAACTCGAAGCATTTTTGCATTTTATTAAGGGAGGTTTGAGTGAAAGGGCTAATCAATTAATGCATTATGATTAGGTATCGTGGTATAGATAAGTTTTCAGGTTATTTTGCTATATTGCAGTGAATAAGAGATAAGATATACCGGGGGTGTACTTGTATGGTCTATTGCCCTTGCACATATTTTACGTCAGTTAGGATAATATGTACGTTTCAAAAATATCCTGCTGATTAAGTTAAACATAAACACGTTTGTTTTCAAGCATATAAATTAATCTGTTTTTCTGCAACTACAGTACTATGCGCCGAAGGAGTACTTTCAAGTTTAATATCCAGCAGTCTTTTCCTTTTGTTGAAAATCCACAAACATACGGTAACCTCTATTTGCCTATTTGATTTTCCCCTAGACTCACAGTTTAGCGATACCAGCCTTCCTGACGGCACTGCTGACTGCCTTCACAGCTGTTTGGATGCTGACCAACAGCTGAGTCAGGTCTCCCGTAGCTTGAGGAACCTTCCGCTGTTCCGCCAGCACGAACCGTGTCAGAGTCATACAGTTGGAGTCGAAGCCCGCGTTGTCTCCGGCCATACTGTCCACTGTGCGCGCTCACTCACTACTGACACTGGATACTGATGTGGACGTGACGAGACGCAGACGACTGAAGTGATAACGAGAATCTAGCCGCCTGTCAATCGTTATCTGCAGCAGTGTGGTCGTTGTCGGGAATTTTACCGGCCACGGGGATATTACGTTCTATAGCTGTGTGCCGATTGGATTGCGCTCTCAGTAGCACTGCGGGCGCTGTTTTCGGTCTAGCTCCCCCCACCATCTACTGGCAGTAGCCGACGCAGCCCATACACTCACCATTGTAAAACGCGCCTTTTTAAGTTGCTGCTCTGTTTAAATATATAGATATAAAATATTGCTAATACATGCCAAAAACTTTTACTATTCTAAACTTTATGTCTTCTTCTTTTCGTGCAAAAAATAACACATTTGAACTCTTAAAAACCCTACTACATTTGTCCAGTTTTTACCGCAAATCTATGCTTGACATTAACGTGATAGGCATACTTTTTTATGACCTATTTTGTAAGATACATTGTCATTAAACATTGAAAGAAAAAAATATCGCGTTTACGTCAAACATTTACGTTACCACTGCGGCAAAAACTTAGCAAAATTATTCTAAATGTTTATGTACTAGTTTTTCGATTAATAAAATAGAATTTCAAACACAAATATTGTACTTTATATTTCTCCTTTGTAATCACTTATTATTTTACCATGTACAATTTGGAACTAGCAATATCAGTTGTCTAAAAAACTCTACAAAACGGGTTTAGTGAATTTGTAGTTTTAAAGAATTCAAATGGGTTATTTTCTGCAAGAAACAAAACAGACATAAAAGGTTTAACTAGTAAAAAGAGTTTGACAAGCGTTAGCAATATTTTATCCCTATAAATTTCAACAGTGCAGCAAATAAAAAGTGTGTTTTATAATGGTGAATGTATGGGCTGCGTCGGCTTCTGCCAGTAGGTGGTGGGGGAAGCTCGACCGCGCGGCCAACACTGAGCCAGCGATCCATGAGTTGTTTACTGTATATCGTTGGTGCCGATAGCGTACGGTAATGGAGTTTGGAATATTGTAGACCAGAAGCTTTTCTAAGCGTTGAAACGGGACTAAATTGTTGTTATCAATTAAATTTTAATAACTAGATGGTTTTCACAGAGGTGTCTATAAAATATAACTGAATTATCAGGGTATCAGTTTATCATTGACACTCGATCACCATGCTTCATTATTAATTTTACCTAATTATGGAGGCAAAATTTTTGTATAAATAATTAGGTGATTAAAATATTTTGAATTTATCGTTCCATAGTGAAGGGAACTAAAAATACAGTAATATCATTGTCTTTTCAGAGACCTGCACTGCGTACATTTTAAGTTTAAACCCTCTGGGATGGTATATAAACTTTTTTCTAATAGAACGGTACAATTCTAAATAGTGATAACGCATAATTCAAGCAAAATAGTTTTGGCCTCCACCCTCCACCCTTTTTATACTAATACAGGGTCGCAGCTATACATGTTTCCAGGGGGGGGGGAGTCATAAATTCGCCGCCCTTTTACCACGCAATTGTGGATTTGTTCTAAATGCTAATTACATTTTACACTGGTAGTCTTAACATGAGGCATAGAAACTTAATAAAATAGCCTAAACGTTTTATAATATTTTTATATAACAATTTTTAAGAGAACAAATAAAAAATTCTGCAATATGTGTTTATTAAATTGCAGTGATTATACAACTCTCTATACATAAAGTCCCTTGATAAGTTTGAAAAGTAAATTATTAAATTTTATTATTCAAAATTTTTTAGCAGCAAACGTCTTGACTGTGTCAGAAAATGTAATTTTTGCTGAGGCTTTGATCGTCTTGTAATGGTCAGTGGTGGATCCAGCTAGGAGGCGCCCGGGGTGGCCCCTTGGCAAATAAAGTCACTCGCGATCGCGACAAAATCACCAACTTATCCCACCATCACGGGGACACTGTTATCATCCTCCGCGATCGCGAAAAAAATCGTCAACACCGATTAGCTTGGCCGAGCGATCATAGTGCTCGCCTTCAAATCTGAATTACGAGCGAGATAGATTCTGTATCCCTAATCTGTTATTTTGCTGTCGATTATCGCTATTGATCAATATTGCGGCTGATAGTGGATATGGTAGTACAGGGGGTGAGTTGACAACATAACAATGGATTGTTATTGTGTAATCTTAAGCAATTCATTAATTTTCTGGTTTGGTAAAATTTGAGTGGAAAGACCACTCTAGACTATTAAGAACCCAAAAAAGAACAAGAACTACGATTTCAAAATGATGTAAGATAAGCTACCTAATGTCATGTTATTTTAAGCTGAAGTGAATCATAGAATAATATGAACGCATTGGTGTGAAAAAATTTAGAATAAGATTAAATGAAAGGGTTACACGCGTGTATAAAATTAAACTGGAATTAAATTAAACTTGATATTTAAGTTCGTCTTTGGCCCTAATATAAAAGTATTATTATATAAAGTTCGTTACTTAGGTTTTATGCTTTGATGAACCCACAAAATATTTTCAACATACACTTTTGAGGTATACATGATGAAATAGACAAGTTAAACAAATTAAAAGAAGATATACAATTGCCAGCAATCTCCATTTATCTGTTGATTCACCACAACATATAACATGGAAGACAACGTTAGAACGGAATATCTTGGTAAAATTGTTTATCTTTCCTAAAGTAGTATCCCAAATGTATAGTACTTGGGTACACTAATGTCCTTGGCCTATATTTCTCCAAGTCTGACTCACAGTTTAGCGATTCCCGCCTTGCCGACGGCGCTGCTGACTGCCTTCACAGCTGTCTGGATGCTAACCAACAGCTGAGTCAAGTCTCCACACGCTGACGGTGTCTTTTGCTGCTCCGCCAGCACGTAGCGCGTCAGCGTCATACAGTTGGAGTCAAACTGACCGCCGTTCTCCGCCATCTCCGGTGGTACTGACCCAGGAGCCTGTAACCGTGCTGAGCGAAAGTTGCCAGGCCTTGGGTTCGGTACAGTTTCTGTTACGGGCATTACCTCACTTTAATTGTTTCTGCCCTTGAGGCGCGGTGTGGCCTTTAGTTTTGATTCTAGGAGTGATAGCGTGGAAATTAAGGCAGGTTTGGATATGTCGTGGGCCATTTTATTTGCATATTAGGATTTAGTGGCTGCTTACTAAAACAAATGCAGTAAATTAAGAACTTATTTATATACTAAACTTATCTATTACTACCGTTGCACGGCTATATTTGCGATTGGCTTCAAAATACTGTATCACATAATGCAATATAACAGAGCTATATATATATATATATATATATATATATATTTTGTTTTTTTTGCACTACACCAATTCAAATTGCACTAATCTTCACCTAATAAAATCAAATATGAGTTTAACTAAAAATTAATGGTTTATAAAGTTGTTTCTATAAAGTTGTAGCAAACTAAATACGAAACTATTTGGCAAACTATTCAGAAAAAAATTATGATTCATGTGATAATTTATATCCAGTAGATATTTTGAACAGTTAGCGAAAACAGGAAAGAAACAAAATTAAAGAATCACTAATAAGACGACTAACTCAAGAATAAAAATATGCTTAAACACCCTATCCCTGATCCAAACGACAAAAATAAGGTGATAATACTTAATCATAAAGGAGGAAGATAATGTGAAGCAAAGACAATAATGAAGGTTAATAACGGTGATAGAAGGTGTGGGAGTCAGGGATTACCATTTTAACTTGGATCTCGGCCAATACTTTGCAGCCGTCGACTCATCTCACAGTAAACCCCTTTAATCAGCTAATTGATAGCTTATTAGTCCAGGAGCTGAGGGGGGTTGAGCATGCATGAAAGTAGTACGCAATGTTATTGTTGATTATTGTAATATGGACTGTGGTGATCAAAATTACGTATGTCACCTATTTCAAAAGTGGTCGATAAGGTGGGGGGGGGGGAGGGGGCAAACATGGTGGTTTGCGCTATGCGTTAAAACGCTGATATTTCGAAAACGGTAAAAGATAGAACATCGGTTAAAACGTCATTGTAATTCTAAAAATGTGGACTATAATAATGGTTATTGAGTCCGAGGTCGTATCTCTATAAATAAACAAGTTATTGTATAAAATATGTAAAAATGGACTTTTCGTGTAGTTTTTTTTACCGAAAGTAGAATTAATTTGTGAGTGTCGCAAAGAATTATCAAATATCTTTGCTGATGGTTGTAATATGGACTGTGGTGATAAAAAATACGCATGTCGCCTACTTTTCAGGTGGTCGAGAACTTGGGGGGAGGGGGGCAAAGATGGCGGAACACGCTATGCATTGAAACGACCGTAGCTCGATAACGGTACGAGATAGGACATCGGTTAAAACGTAGGCTAGTTTTAATCCAAAAAGTCACTGCTTAAACAATAATCAGAAATAACATTGCGTACTACTTTCATGAATGCTCAACCCCGCTCAGCTCCTGGACTATATCTAGACTCTGAAGCAGGGACAACTAACTTGTAGTATCTATCAATGGATGAATGTGAGTGATGAAGTCAAAGTAATTGGGACAGAATTGAAGTTGGATAAATAGAGAAGTATATAGAGAAATATAAAATTACACTGCATTTGTATTGATCTACAATTTCTCATTGAAACTAACATAAGACGTACCTGAAAATTTTGTTTATATGTCTCAATTTCAACAAGTTTATAATTGATTGAGCGTAGCTCTTTGGGATCAACTTCAATGCAACAAATAGAGAAACATCACTCAATAACGGCTGAACGCATTTCAGCCAAACTTAACAAAATTACTTAGACTAATAGTGAGATGGTTTTTAAACAAACAAATTTCAATTAGATAATGCTAATGCAATTTAAAACGAACTTAAAATTTCCAAATTTTAACATTAGGCTTATGGGACAAAAGTAGTCATATGACAGTTTTTTGTTTACAAAAAAAATGTAAACAAGAGTACCGTTACGGTATTTCTGAACTTTCTAGACTTTTCTTTTAAACGTTCTTAAACCATTCCTATGATTGTAATAAACAAAAAAAATG